GAAGAAAAATAAAAGAATTTGGGTGTTTTGGGTTATTTATAGCATAACCAAAACAATCTCATTTTGATTAAAATTGTAACTAAGTCACCAAGTCGAGTCAAGAACCAAGTCGAATTGAGCTGATTGAAGCTGTTGACAAAGGGCTTACGCTGATTGACTGAACAGTTTAATCGTTAACCTAACCGTTAACTAGCGCTGACCAGAGGCGTTTTCGATATTTTCATCATTTTGTTTATTTTTTTCATTTTTTTACTCAAAAATTTATATATATATTTTTGTTATTTTTATTGCTTTTTTTTATTTTATTTTTGAGTGAACTCTATATGGAAAATAAAATAGTTGTGAAAAAATATTTAGCAAAATTTGTATGAAAATAAATTTTTAAAGATATTTGTAAAAATAAATCAAGGAAAAAGTTGAAATATCAAAATTTCATAAATTCTTTGAAAAATAAAATTTTTTTATTTTTTTAATTATCACAAGTGAAATATTTATTAAGTGTCCTCAAAGTGTTTGTATAATTCAAGAAATTATTTTGCTAGGAATAAAATTTTACAAATAATAAATGAATTAAAATAATGGATTATTTAGATAAATCTTTTGGAAATGTAATTTTTAAAGAAAATTGCAAAGAGTTCAATTTTTCTTAATTATTGCAAGTAAAAATATTTTTAGATTTCCCTAAATAGTTGGGACAATTAAAAAATTATTTTTCTAAACGATCGAAATAAATAAATAATAAGTAAATAAACAATAAATAACAATTAATAATGAAAAAAATAAAATATTTATTTAAATAAATCTCTTAAATGAAAATTTTAAGGAAATTTGAAAGTCTTATTTTCCTTAATTAGTTCAAAGGAAAAATGATTTTTTGGGGATCTCAAAATCAATTTTACAAATAAGATTTTTATTTAGATGATCAGATAATAATAAATAATTATAATGATAATAATAAATAATTTATATTACTTTAAATCATACATGTTTGTGAGTAAAAAAATAGGGTTAAGTACATATGTGGTCTCCAAACTTTCAAATTTTGGTCACATTAGTACTTAAAGAATTTTTATCACATTGGTACCTGAACTTTAATTCCGTAAGTTAGTTAACCCAAAAGTTAACTCTGTTAGAAAAAAAAAGCCGGCATGTTTTAAATGGCCAATCAAATAATGTTGGTTATTAACAAAATTTCACGTCTTTAACTTGATTTTTTTTCACATCATTACATATTAGCCACATTAGATATTAACTTAAAAAAAAATTAATAGTTTCATTTTTTAAACAAGATAAAAAAATTGAAACAAGTAGCTTCCTTAAAGAAAAAAAAAACTCGATGATTTTTAAGGGATTAGGTTTTGAGATTGAGTCTTTGTATTCATTTCAAACTGAGTGATTAGAGTGTGGTATTTAAGGCAATCGATTTAAAAAGTTCAATCAATTGAGGGTTTGGCAATCAATTTAGGGTTTAAAATTGGGGGTTTAGGGCAATCAATTTAAAAAGTGCAATCGATTAGGGGATTTTGTGTTTAGGGCAATCGATTTATGGTTTAAACTTGGGGGTTTAGAGCAATCGATTCAAAAAGTGCAATTGATTAGGGGTTTTGTGTTTAGAGCAATCAATTTAGGGTTTAAAATTGAGGGTTTAGATTAGTGATGTTATAGGTTAAAGGTCTGAAAATGAAACATTAGAATTGACTCATAAAGGGATAAATTGATTCAGAATGTGGGACATTTGTTTGCAGTTTATAGATTTCAGACGAGGCAGATTTCCATATAACCTAACATGTATTTGTGTTTGGTTTGATTTTGGTTTTTTATGATTTTTGATCGGTTGAATGTTGTATTTTAATAGTATTTGTATTGGGTTAGGTTCTGTGATGTTTGTATTTCTTGAATGATTTATTGATTTTGATTTGAGGTAAATCTACTTTCTGCCATTTGAAAAGGATTAAAGAAAGAAACAAAAACATTGAAGTAGTTTCACTAAATACCCAAAAGAAGTCACACGATTTCAAGCCCACACTATAATTCCTCTTTGTTTTTGTCAACTATTTCTTTTTCTTCTTCTTAAACTTTTAGAGAAGCTAACTTCTTGAATTTTTTTATCTCAATTAAAAAATAAAAGTGTTATTTTTTTTTGTTTTAGGTTGATATCTAATGTGGCCAATATGTCATGACATAAAAAAATCAGTTTGAAGATGTGGAATTGGTTGGCCATTTACAACACGTTAACTTTTTTTAATGGAGTTAAACTGGCTTAAGAAATTAAAGTTCAAGTACCAATGTGGTAAAAAAAATTTTAGGTATCAATACGACCAAAATTTGAAAGTTCAAGAGCCAATTATGTATTTAACCCTAAAAAATACTTTTGCATGAAATTTTTGAAAATTTGGTGAATGGTCAATTTTTTTCAAAATTTTTTTGAATTAAAATATTTTCTATAAATTCTGCTAAAGTGTTAAAAATTTATAAAATGTTAAATAATAAATTTTATAAAAAAACAATAATAAAATTTTTCATGAATAAACTTTAGGGAATTAATTTAAATATTGATCATACTATTAAAATTAAAAAATAACATATGTTTAATTAGTACCATTCTTTGAATGAGCGATGTAAGAGTGTTAATACATTTTTTACTTATAATCGTATTCTGAGATCTAACTCTAATTTCACAAATCAAAATATCTTTTAGTAAATCTTAAATAACTTTAAGGTTTTTATTAAAAGATATGTTGGATGACTAGTCATACTTAATTAAAAAATATTTGTGACAACTCTGTAAATTTTTTCAAGTCTTGAAATTGAGTTCTCCAAAGAAAAATCGTTACGACATTCTAAATTTGTTTTTAAAAAACTTTAACTTCAATATCCATCGTTCAAAATATAAAACATTAAATTATGTATGTATTAGCAAAATTTTAACTTAATCAAATCACTAATAAATCTCCATCCAACATCTTGATCCAATCTTGATCCAACTAGTACCTCTCCCTCTCTTTTTGCCCTCACTCGACTATAACCTTTTTCTCTCTTTGGTGGCTTACTCTATTTTCACGCCACTTTAAAAAAATACCAGAAGTATGGAGCTGGACCACACACACAACAGTTTAAACTGGTTTAGACATAAAATCCTTTGTACCATTAATAAAGCGTATCCGAATATCATTGCAGTTAAACTTTAGTTTTAAACAGACACACACCTATTCAGAGTAGCTGAGACAGTCTCCTCGACAACAGCTCTCAAGTTATGGCCCTTGTTTGATGTAACATATATTGCACCTTGGTCAGTTACTATTTCTGCCTCTTTTCACCAGTTGCCTTTATATATACCTGCACAAATCAGGATGATTTCACTCAATCACTTAAATCATCGATCTTTAGACTAGCCATATTCCCACGCACGCGCACACAAAAATTCAAATGCTTGCAAATAAATTGATAATAACAACCCCGCAACGAAACAAGTAATAAGCTTTCAATGTGGATGCACATTCAATTATGCCTTAGTTAAGATATGACTAAAGACACTTGTTACTATTTAAGGAAGTACCTTCATTTAATCAACTGAAAATTATTTCATAACTATCCAACAACTGCATTTAAACCGACAACATTTCCAAAAATAGTAACTCAACAACAGTAACTTCACTTAAAATGCATAATATGGGGCAAAAAAAGTTAGTGAAGACCATAAATGCTTGGTAGAGAAGGCGAGGAGCGAAAAGACAACTTAAGGAAGGAGCAATCACTCATTTGAAAATTAGGCATTGCCATTGTTATTCACTCTGCTTTAACCTTGTCTTTTTTTCCTGTTATTTCTTATCTGAATGGTGGTGGTTTATTATCAACGGCTACGCGGGCATTTCGAACGTCAAATCTTATTGGATATGGAAGACAGATAGAAGTACTCATGGTCCGGGGTGAGCCTGGTTTGGTACTAACACTTACATTATACATATTTTCTAAGAATCTATTTGGATATGTAGTTTTTTGTAAGAATGAAAATAATGATAAATGTGAGAATAGTAAGATTAAAATTAATGGTGAGATATGTATTTGGATACAAAAATAAAGATGATATTAAAATGAATTATAATAAAAATAAAAAATAATTATTAGATTAAAAATTATATATAATAAAAATTATAAATTATTTAATATTTATAAAATTAATAAATAATTTAAAATTTATTAAATTATTTTATATTAAATAATAATTTTATTAATAAATATTTATAATTTATAATTTGATCTTGTAAAAAAAATACCCATTATTTTTTAAAAAATAAAAGTTATTTTTATTAAATTTTAAAACAAGATAATTTAACATAATTTTTAATATTTACAATGCAATATTATATATATTTTTATATTGTATAAATTACATAATTAATATATAAATATCAAAATAATATATTATATATTTAAAAAATGGGTCGAACCTTGCTTTGATCTTATTGTCGAAAAAAATTTCGGTTTAAAAAAATAGGCAGATTTTTTTATTTGGATAAATAACCGACCTTTGGACAAATAGCCTTTCAAAAATTTGTAAGTCTTTAAAAATAAATACAAAAAATTTATGTCTTATTATTGATGTGGTATCTTACGATTTAATACATAAGATCTATACAATGATAATATGTTAAATATAAATTTTAAAACATTTTGCTTTATGCAATTACAATCATTTTTAAAACGACATTATATTTTGGTATAAAATCATTTGGTAAAACTGATAATTTGAGTATATATCTTTGTATATTTGTATTGTGTAAAATATTAAAATATAAAATAATAAAATTATTTGTTATAATTCATGATATATTCATAATGTGTTTCACACGATAATTACTTCATACATATAATATATATTTTTTATTTTATTAAATTTATATATAATTATTATTAAAATTTTAAATTATATCATTTTCGTATTTTTTTTATATCTTATTTGTATTATATCATCATATTGTATTTTAAATTATAGGATAAAAATGGCTTAGCAAGCAAGAGGTTCGGGGAAGGGATTGGTACACTGTCATCTCCATTTTACAGAGCAACAGAACATGCACAAAGGAAAACGTCTTTTACCAGGTAGCAGGACGAAAGAAGAGATTGAGAGGTTCGTCCGAAATTTCTTTACAGAGACGTACATATTTTCAAATAAAAGCAAAGAATTAGCGACAAGACAATGGTGTCACTTTCCCTTCTCTTCTACTATAACAACAAAGACGCTATCCATTTCCACTTTCTTCTGTACGTAAAAAGGATCTTGTAGATAAGCCATTCAAGAAGATCCTCACAACATCAAAAAATTTGTGTCCATACCTATGTACAATTTTCTTACCACTTCTTGGTAAAGGAGGGAGAAAGAAAAAAGACTTGAAGCATGCGAGTTGAATAACGTCAATGCCATAATGGCAAATAAATCACAAATAACCTCTTAAAGAACTTTTGAGGTTGTCATGGCCGGTAAATTCTGGTGGTTTCTTTTACCTGAAGCCGACAGAACGGACACCGAGAAACTGCAGATGAGCATCTACGACAAAGTACATGGCCGCAAGGAACTATTGTCATGTCAACTTCATTGCTCAAACAGACCCGGCAAAGCCATGCTGCTTTTGCTGTATCAGCTTCTTTTACAGCAACATCAACCTTTTCCTGCAGATTTGGACCATGACATTCAAAACTCAGCTTTCAATAAGACTTGATCACAAGTCAGTGGCTATGCATTGAGTTTTAAAATACAGACTATGATGCTAGATTTTGCAACATCATTTTAACATGCAAAAATCGAACCTGTTCAAGCAGAAGTGCTGTTCGGGATTCTTTCAATTGTTCTTGGAGGGTTACAGTTTTCTGCAATAGTGACTGCTTCTCCACATCCAAGTTGATTCCAGCTGCAGAAAGCATCTCGTTAACTGCCTGAACCAGTTCTGCAGCTGACACTCGGCCATACTGGAGCTCTTTAATAGGCTGCATTAACAATAAAGAAAACCTTACCAGTTACTGCTATGATAAAACAGTATAGTAATGTCCATTCTAACACTAATGATTACCATGGAACAAGAACAGTAATGCCCTCTTCACATCAAGACATAATTTGCTTCATTTGCAAATCCTATATCATGCTAAGGCAGAATTATCTGAATCAATTTAGATATAGCTCCGAGATATCTAAACAATTTTAGTTTAAATTTGTAAATTTCATAGCTGTTTATCTAAATTAGTCTCCCTTTCTTGCCCTAGATGGAATTGTTTTAAACATAACTTAGTTACAAGGAGCAAAGCAGCTGCTCAGAAGCATACATTGGAACAAGAACAGTAATAGGCTCTTCACATGAAGACATAATTTGCTTCATTTTACAAATCCTCTATGACGCTGAGGGCAGACTTATCTGAATCAATTCAGATACAGCTCTGAGATATCTACATAATTTAAGTTTAAACTGTAAATTAGTCTCCCTTTCTTGCCCTAGATAGAATTGTTTAAAAAATAAGCTTAGTGACAAGGGGTAAAGGGGCTGCTATTGCTTCTGATGATGAAGATGCCAGGCAACAGCTCAAATGCCATCAAGTTCTATTAAAGTCTTCCCCCAACACCCCCCCCCCCCCCCCCCCGCGGGTACTCTCAAGGAGTTGGCAAAGTGACACAAATGACGATTCCAGTATGAGTACAGAATCCACATGGCTATGTGTAATTAATTGAAGCAACAGTCACAATCATATTTCAAGCATCCTGAAAGTAAACTGATAAAAGCACTAGAAGTAGCAAGACAAGGATCCAAAACCTGAGATGATTTTCTTCTGCCTCTTTCAGAACTTTCTGGCATCTCATTGTGAGTCCTGTTATCAGTTATAACATGATTATCCTCAGGCAAGATTGCTGAGGAAGCATTGTTTCCCATTGATACACTTCTAAATGAGAAAACCTGTGAAGAAAGAAGAGATTCAGTCATTCCTGGTGCTGTTTCCACCTTGAATCTATAGAGGGCTTGGCCTGCAGAAGGTCTGACATCCTCTGGAACTCTACCATATTTCAACTTCTCTCCATTTTGAGTCCGCCAAGCCACTATTTCTCCCCTATAAAATGGCCTCAATGGGTGAAGTTGCACTTGAAGAGCATCTTGAGGTATTATTTCTTTGCCCATCAAATTGTTACAAGTGGCTTCAATTTCTTCTCTCTTGTCAGAACAAAGTTTTAGAATGTCAACAATTACAGCCTCAGACCCTTCAGGACAGGAAAATAAAGATCCTATAGGCAATGGGATTGGGGATCCTAAAACCTGGCTTACAACAGTTGCTACAACATCAAGAACAGATATATAAGCTGGAGGCTCAGCAACGAAAATACAGCTTTTAGACTGGTTGATGAAGTAAAGAGCCCGATGTCTAGATCCATTCTCCCACCCTGGAATTACAGAATCCTTAGATACAAAGGTAATATCTAGAGACCTTGATAGGAGCCAAAAACGGGTATGAAGGCACTTAACAAACTGCAACTTGTCTGCAAGAGATTCTAGAGAACTCTGCACAGTTCCCAAAGCCATATTATTAATTTCTGGAACATAACCGGCTATGCTAGTTACAAGAGTCCACAGAGCACCCTGAAAGGATCTGCTTAATAGCTTCTCTCTGACAACAGCTAATGGGATGGTGCCAATACTATCCAAAGTCTCTAAACTGTCTTCATTATGGAGTTCCTGCAAACACAAGCATATAAATTAAATGAACACAAATGCTCAGTATTCCAGAAGAAGGCTATGAAAATCACTTAAAAAGTCAACAGAACAAGATCAAAATACCTCAGTGACAACATCAGATAGCTTTTTGATGCCTAAGAATGTACATATTCTTTCCGGAAGATTTGGGTGAACAAATTTTAACCTAGAAAAGTCAATATGCTTAACAAATCTAGAGCCATATGAATCAATGTAGACACAAGATTTTGCATGAACGAGTCTGCAACCATCATCTGGGACTACAGCATCTGATTTCCAGTCAAGCCTATCAAGCATATTTGCCTCAACAGTTCCATCGCAGACAAAATATAGAATTTCCATCACAGCACGGAGTTCATTTGGATTTAGGCGCTGATATCCACATGCTTGCTGCAGATTTAACAGAAGCTCTTTTGCAGAAGCAACTGATAGCATGTCCTGAAGTCCCAAATCCTTAAGAATGTTCACAAAAGGAAGATATAGAGAAGGAAGTTCAAATGCGAACGGAGCCAAATTAATTGTCAAACGTGCAAAAAGAGAGTTAGCTGGCACTAGGCGTGTTCCATTTGCAGCAGGCAGAAATGCTATTCCATGCAGCTTTGCTATATCTGCATGAGCCAAACTTTGATACCTTTAGTCACTTCTAACTTTAGAATTCCAACATTGTGATGTGCAAAATGTAAACATATGTAAACCAAGATTTCATGCACTTATTAATAATTAGATTAGTGTGAAAAAATCAGAGACGCAATACTGTTATTACCAACCAAATAGATATAAATCAGAAAACATAAATAAAGTGATGTTCGCAAGAAACTAAAGAAATTTAAATACGTTGCTATAAATTCATTCCCTTCTAGAGGCAATTGATAGCAGAAGAACAAAGCAACCTGAAGAAGAGAGGGAACCCCGAATTTTATCCAAATATTTCAAAACTTCATAAGAAGCATCATCAATGGTCATCATGCCGGATGCAGTAGGCCAGTGAGCAAGAGTGTCTTCACCACCATTTTTCCCAATAATCTGTATCAAGTTCTTGTTAGTTGTGTGTTTTCATATGCAAGTTCTATCAGATGAAAACAAAAGGAAAGTGAAGTTTCATACCTGTAGATGTTTTAGGACTGTAGCAAAGGCCGGAGGACTCCTCAGGTGCAGTGCCCCCCACGAGTATTCAGGAGGAATAACATTTTGTCTAGAGAGTATAGGAGCACAGCTCCAAGCAAGAGGCCAGTCCTTTGATAGAATAGCTTCACTATAGGAAGCAAGAACTCTCTTGCCACCCACATTTGGCAAGCCTAATTCAGCCGGTACACAAGAAATCTCCCCTAAGAGATTACAGAAGTTGTTTCCATAAAGGACAGCAAAGTTTGTGAGCACAGCTTCAATAACAGATCCAGCCAAAGTCCACACTTCCATAGAGACTTCACCATGACAGTAGGTCATGTCCATCTCAAAATCATCAAAATCGCCAGTAGACTTCATGCACTCACTTCCAAGAAACTCTACCCTTTTGGCACATTCAAGTATCACATCAGCTTCTGTTGCAGTTCTAAGGCCCACCTTCCGTAGAATATGCAGCCACCCATTTGTACTAAACCTTTCACCAGGAAATTTCTTCCTCTCACCAGAAAATACAGATGCTAGTAAAGCATCCCCTGGATCAAACAAGTCCTTAGGCTTGTATAAATCAGAAGAAAATTCATCAGCATTCCGGACAAAATTAGTTCCTCTTAGAGCTTCAACTACAGAAGAATCGGCTTGGAGGTCTTGCCAATTTGTATAAAGATAGATTAATATATCCTCTCGCTCATTCAGAGGTTTTTCTTCAAAACAAGGCAGACTAAACCTTACCAAAATTTGTTGATCACGCAACTCAGGGACCCCAAGAGCTCGAAGTAGTGAACATTCAATTGAATCTGTGGAATAAGATAGGCAGCGCTCATCACATGGTTTAAGGAATGAATTTGATGAGATTATACAATGTTCTTGGTTGTTTAATCCTGTGCATGAGCCCAAAACTGTTCTGTAGATAGGCAACAACCGCAACACTTCGAGTTCTTCTCTTCCATATCTGGAACCATTATTAGAGAAATCAAGAGCAAAAAGATTAAGAAGTTCATCTCGATCAGAAGCAGAAAATGATGTAAGTTCAGGAAAAAGGCCAGCGTGTTTAGCTGCAACGAGCTTGGAGGCAATAACTTGCCCTAATGATTGGCTGGATGCAGGAAGAACATTGCAAGAGGTAGCACAATCCATGAAAGCAACATCAAAAACAGGGATATGGCACTGATTCAACAATGATACCAACCAAGGGTAACGATTTTTGGATGTTTCAAAAGCTGAAATGTAGAGTTGAATTGAATCAGAGTCAGAAGTTTGATTGACAGATACTCCAGTTAGATCACGTTGTATTGCAGTTGCATCCATGATGCCATCACCAGATGTTCGATCGGTAATAGGAGGTGGAATGAAGACCAGATGGCACTCCCTTACACGACATAAAATTGGCCTACCAAGAAAGGCAGGAATTAATGGCCAATCAGAAAAGAGAGAGAGGTCCTCTGAGGATCGACCAAAGCTTTTCCAAAAGGTTCTTATCCATTCAGGGGAAGGACCACCTTCACCACCAGAACTTGATGTATTCTCCCAGGAAAACCAAGGAGCCATATTTGACTCCATAACATGATTGACCCAGTTATCGTGAAAAAGTAATCTCAAATGAGTAGCCATCAAGTGAAAAGAGAAACTCTTCAATTTAAGTGATGTTTGAATGGCATGTTTTGAAAAAATATCTGCTAAAATTGACCTATCCAACACTTTTGAGTGGACAAATTTTGCTGCTAAAGGCATCATCAACGACTGTTGCTCCTTGTTTCCTAACCAAAGTTCAGTCACCCCCAAGCGTGCTAAATGATTTGTTGCAGTTGGACATGGCAAGCGCTTGACCTCAGCAGCTATTGACAAAAGTTTTGCGTCTCCATTACCATTTCTGCTGTTACTGCTACCAGCTATATTGTCCCTCTGAGCCAAGGCTCCAGCCCTACCAATATCCTCAACAACTCCACGGCCAAAATCAAATAAAGCCTTCCCCAAATTTGTGACCATTTCAAGTGCATCACCTGAAATGGCTGTATTCTGGGAAGAGGAGCCATGATAAGTCCGCACATTAGGCATCAATACCGAATCAGAACTGCTACCCACTTCATTAGTGCCTCTAATAAAAGCATTTGGGTTAATGGGGTCCACTAACATATCATTTCCATGACAGTTAGCTGATCCTGGGAACTGAATATCAGACAAGCAATACTCAAGAACATCTATAAAAGTATCAACAGATCGAAGAACAATAGAAGTTGATGAAACCTTCAAAAGATCACAAACCATTTTAGGTTTAATTTCTCGAACTGTAATTCCCACTGCATGGATTTCATTCACCAACTCCCACGGTACTGAAAATACCTGATAGTGTTCCTTCACAAAGCTACAAACAGTAGCTGGAAGCAAATTACCACCCACCCCATTGCCAGGCAGGGAGAGAAACATACCTTCTTCAGCCTTGACTAAATTTCCCGAGTACAGCTGCCAAACTGGTAGGTCAACCAGGCGGGTGTAGAATGGCCTTATAACTTGTTCAATCAAGCATTCCCAATCAGCTTTAAGCACTTCGGCTGATGCTGATTTACTATCATCATCAGCTCCATTACTCAGTATATAACCATTAGACCTTGGCCAGAAGGAATAAATTTGATCTCCATAGGCCTTCAAAGACAGAGCAACTGCATGACTGGAACTTGAATCAATACTAGAAGTTGAAGGATCTCTTCTTAATTTCTGCATTTCCACGACCATTTCTATGTAGGAATCGCGAACACAAGACATCAGTTCTCTGTTCCAAGCTTCTATCAACTGATCTCCAGCATCAGGTTGCACCTCATGCAATACTTCATTATTTTGGTATTTAAAGAGATAACGACCACCATTATGGCGCACAAGAAAACATCCAAGGACAGTGACTGGTAAAGTTATAACACCAGACAGAGGAAGAGGAGTCATAATGGAGCTTGTTAGATGACCATTAGCTGGATGACCATTGCGGGATACATGAGCTGCAACTCCAGCTACAGGTGTCAAATTGTATGCTAAATAGCGCCTGAGAACAAAGATGATGACTGTGTTAAAGAACATCAAGAATACTGCTGATATTTCTTAGGGAGAAATGGGAAAGAAGAAGGGATACATGTGCAGAAAATTCCAACTTCTTTTATTCTGAATAAAGAGAACACAAAGCATTTTGAATTATTGCAAACCAACAAAAGCAGCATATTTATGTGGCTTTAAATTAGTTAACAAAAGTTAGGGGAAGAGGGGGGTGGGGGAGTTCGTTTGTAATGGATCATTTACCAATCAGAGAATAATGACCAAGAAACAATTTACTTTCACCTACCTATCAAGAGCCATGTTTCTGGTTTGTCCAGAACCCAGGCTGAGCACAACAAGCCATCTGTCCACAAATCTAGTTCCTCTTTGGAATATGTTCACATCAATCACATGCAATTTAACAGCAGCATTTGAGTTGCTAAATAGCCTGGATATTTGAAACTTTCTCCATTTCTTTTCAGAAAATGGATTCCTCAAGATAGCGGATGATGGATCAATAAAAACAGAATAATCCTGACAAAGCTGTGTACATCCTTCCTCCCATGTTGAAACTGACACCTGGATGTTTGAGTTTACATGGTGATTAATATCTTTGTCAAGAAAATGGTACAAACAAAGTGGTTATTGCCCAAGCCAAAAGTGCTCTTGTGCTTTAAAAGTCCTGGGCTGAACTTCTTAGGCTACCAGTCCTTCATAAATAAAGGAGGTTGCAAAAATGAAGAATCAGGGAAAGTACAATGGTAAGCCAGAAATATCAATTGTTTCAGTGGAAAAAAATGAAATAAAAAGACGAAGAAACTTTACCTGCAAAACTGACTTTAAGAAAATAAGCATCCTAGACGCATGCTCCAAAAATCTGTCAATTATTTGATTTACTTTCTTCAATCCCAATTCAAGTCCATCTTTCAAGCATTCTGGTGATAGAGGCATGCGAATAATTGTAAAGTCCGATGATGACCATGGCATTTTTTGATCAATCAGCATTGGAATAAACTGATCACGAAATCTTTCAGTCAAACTAGTACCTGCAATGAATCAGAAGAAAGAAACAAATCAGTTTTTTACTTTGCTTGAACAGATAAGTGAAGATGAAGTGGTAAAAGTTCTGAATAGCATCTAAATTCTTGGGGAGAGGGATGTATTGTAAAAAGGACGGAAAGGGGAAGGAGAGAGGGCACATAGTTAAGGCTAAACCCATCATTATGCAATAATTAGCCCACAAATCTTCAAACAAATATTACACTTGGGCTTAAAGGTAGAATTGTTCTATCTCAGTTATGAAATACCATATGGTGTTAAAACACAAATCAAATGAATTCTATTTTCTGATAGCTAAGCCTCTACCAAATCAAGTATAAGCATACAAAGGGAGATAAGAAAAGGCGAGAACAAAAAAAATTACCAATCAAAGAAAACATTTTTGCTGCTGCAGCATGACTTGACGCTACAGAAAGTGCTACACCACGAGGATCGAACATATAGAAGTAGCCACCAGAGATAATAGACAGGAGATCACATATGAAGTAACAGCTTAGCAATCCCAACCCATAGTTTAGAGTATTAGTACGAAGTCTCCAGGGAGGGAGCAGCTGAAGGCCACTTATCTCCTCTCTATTCAAGCTGGCCCCTTCCAAAATAGCTACCAATGCTGGCCCTTGAAATTCAACTGCACTTGTAAAATAAAACAATATTCAGACAATCATCCTGATGACAACAAAGGACAAAGCTAGGCAAAGTGTTTCGAAAAATGAACTATGGAATATAATAAACTCACTGCAGGACAAGATTGTGGTTATTTTTGGAACAGAAAGTTGCACCACAGCATATAAGAAATGAAGTCAACTATAAAAGCAGATTTGCAGAGTTCTACCACCTTCCTAGCCTGCTATAAGTTAATTTTACTTTTAAGCCCTCGGGTCTATGACCTATACAGAACTTCTAACTGTACAACAAACATCAACCATAGCCTAATCTACCCATTCCAAGCAGATGCAGTGACAAAAGAAACATTTAGGGAAAATTCCATCTTGTTGAGGAACAAGGTCCCACATATCACAGGTTCAACCAACTTAAAAAATTTCTAAAATTAGCACTGATTACCTAAGTTGTGCTGCAGCAAAGACTGGTGAGGATGCTCCCTCTTGTCAAATATTAGGTGTAGCTTCTTAGCTTTACAGCAATCTGCCAACTCAAGCAGGTCAAACAACAAAAATTCATTGTTGCCATACAGAGACAGAAGTTCCTTTATTCTTGCAAAATCCATGCATGGCAGATCTTTAGTCATATCTTCGCTTACTAAAGAGAGACAGCGGAGCGATTTTACACCCAACCTATTTGCTAAATCATTGTTGATACTTGGATGTATAAAATGTTTGCTAAACAGAGCACTATTTTCTATCCATGGTGCATCATTATACACCAGCTCCCCAGCAGACATCAAAACACCACATGAATCTGGAATTAGCAATGGAGTATTAGAAGCCTCAAAAAAAGGTTTGTCTGATGAACTGTCAGCAATGGCTTCAAGGACACAATTGACAAAATCAAGTTGCTCAGCTGATAAAGGAAGCCCCTTCAAATCATTCTGTAGGCATTGTAGAACATGGACGTAGTCCCAAATACCAAAACTGAGTCTGACACCTAATTCCAAGAGCAAATCTCTAAATTCTACTAACTCAGATGGGACAACATACAAATAAGGAGTAAACTTCACAGGAGAATCAAATGCAAGTGCATTTGAAGAAACAAAATCATCTCCAATCCAAACCCATGAAACACCATCCAAAGCAGATTTCAACACCATAAAATCATCAGTACCAATATGTTCTTGCAATTTAGAATAAAGCACTGTTATGCCCTGTTGTAGTGCAGCATCAAAATCAGGCTCCACCAAAGAATGTAACTTCAGCTGGTAGTAGGACTTGGACAGCTCAATTAATTGTGTTGAAAGAACATGCATGTTTAGCTGATCCATCCAACCAAGCCTATGTTGTAGATATAGTAAGTCACATTGACCATCTAGGATATGCATCGTAGAGGACACCATCCACATCTGAGATTTAGGTCTCACAACGCTCGGGGATACTAGATGGCTAGTGGATTTTAACCATGGGAGTCCTTGAAAAGGGGGATTGACAAAAACTGGGCACCAAACGATGGTTTTCATTTCAGACCAAAAATCTTCTTCAGGCATATTGCCAATCAAGTCCCCTATAACACTGTCAATGTCTATATCATCCTTACAAATGGTTTCCTCCCTGTTAGAGGGGTCAAGAGCAACTGCAGCACCTTCTGAAATATCAATATTCTGATAAAATACGGCACTTGGCATCTCTTTGTTATTGCTTTCTGATGCAGGAATTTTTTCTGCATCACCTTCTCTCTCAGATGAAAGCTTACATGCAAGAGCATCTAAATAGAGAAGCAACTTCCTCCCACAATTTGCTGCTTCTGGGTCCCCAGATTCATGCAGTACAGAAACAGATCTAGCACAATCAAGAAAACCGATAAAGCCTAAAGTCCTTCTCAATCCAAGGCTAACTAAAGTGTCTAAAGTTTCAGGATCCGTGAACTTCTCAGAAGGGAAGAAAACTTCTTTATGGAGCACTTTTTGTAACCCAGGGACTCGAGGATCATAAAGCCTGCAAAGAACATCATAGCAAGAAATTGATAACAGGGAATACTTCAAGTGATCTAAAAAAATAATTCATTAAATATGTAGGTTTGTCGCAGAAACAGAAACCTCTGATTTGAGTCAATAGGGTGGAAGGAAGTAAAGCATAGTAGCATTACTAATTAATTGGTCTAAAACTTAAATATTTGCAAACTTGCAGCACACAAGAAAACAAAGATATGATTTGGAAAACAGATAAGGTGCTTAAATGAATAAACCTGGATGGTGGCTGCCAAGAACCATTTGCTGCCAGAACAAAAGGTGTTGTGGAGAGTGCAGATCTGATGGAGATGTCTTCCTCAATTAGAAGCTTCACATCATGTAAAATGGCAGGAAAAGCTCCCTGCTTTGAAAGGAATTCTGACATGTGATTAAGAACATAACTTTTATAGAATTCCACCTTTGATGGCTCTCTAATATCCAAATACCTTGTCAGAATGATTCTCTCCCTTTCAGATTCTGCTCGCACAAAATCATCATTTAATATATCCTCACAGATGCCATCAGGTTTAAGCCATTTGATAGGTTTACTCAGGCTGACTAGTTTTCTATTTCTATACGACTCAAACATAGGAATATGTTTAATGATGTCAATATGCATGTCGGTTATCTGCTCTTCAAGGAACCACTTCGACTGCAAAATATAACAACGAAGTTCATGCAGCTCCCCTTCTAATGCATCAACGAAAAGCCCCTCAATGCTCTCCATTTTACCATTATTGGCCACTGCCAGAAATGCATTTAATATTCCACTTGCTGTTGGAGACTGAACAAAGAGTTCTAGATGTGGATGCTGTATTTCCAAGTCATGCCTTAAAAATAAACAACCAACTTTTAGCAACAAAGTAGACATGTTCTCACTCCACCCATCATATTTAATCACATTTGAACTTTTAACTAGTTGCAAAAGATAATTTTCTTCAACTGGCAGTATAGGCCACTTATAAAATATTGAGAGGTCATCACAACACAACTTCAAATAATTCCACAGCAAAGTTATCCATTCTAAACTTGGCTGGCCTTGATAACCAGGCACCCAGCTTACCTTCTTAGCAAGCTGCCAATCAGCTGGAAGTAACTTTAAAAACAGCTTCTCAAGCAAATGGCATGACAGAAAAGAAATATTTGATAGCTCACTTTGGGCCAAATCACATAGTTTGCTATGAACCACTTCCGGAAGTTCACAATAAACCAATTGTTGTGGAAGTAAATCCTTGAGAAGACGATATTCATCCCCCCTTGCAATATATATTCTTTCACCAGCTCCAGTCTTCTCAAAGGTTGTAAATGAGCCATCCGCAAGAGGTAACAAAGGTAAACCAAACAAACAATCAGCTTGAACGGGAATTTTTAAGTCAAGTAAGCAATATTCAAGGGTCAAGATCACTGCATTCCTGTTCTTGAAAACACGTTTTCGCTGAGTCAACAGAGACCTTAAAAGCTGAGGTGTCAGATAATGTAACAATGGGCAGGCTTCCGTGAATCGCTCTACAACTGGTTTGGGAACATTTGCAAGAGGTAGACTAGCATCACATAGTGCTTCAACAAGCTCATGAGCTTTATGGAAGGCAAAATCAGGAAAAATAGCTTGTTTTGTTGAAATCCACTGCCCCCCTCTAGCTTTTGTGTACAATATACGAAGACCAAACTCAGCAATGAAAATATAAAGTTTCCGAACCACAGATGCCCAAGGCTCTAATCCTGTCGTTGTTGGCCAAAATGAAAAGAACAATTCAGATGGACCAATAAGTGAAGCAATTTTCTCAAGCAAGTGACCATATGCAGGAGCAACAACATCTTCAAGGAGGTAAATATTCCAGTCTGAGCGTTTTTTCCCACCACCAGCCATGTCATTACCAAACCAAATGTCTCTCCGATTTGATGACAACTCAAAATATGCATTAACATGTGCTGGAAGACCAGTAATGATTGGCAGAGGCAAAAAGCAAAAAGCACGGCCCTCAATGTGCTTCCTATCTTGAATGGAATGCATAGAAAATTGAAAAAGATCAGCAGTACAAGCATTCTCCTGGCTAAAGGCACCAAACATTTCTCCATCCACCTTGACAGAGTGTATATGTGCAGCAACACAAGCCCAGGGGATTGATTTATGAATCTTGTCATCAGAAACTATACTGTTGGTTTTAGCTCGCCCACTGCCTAAACATTCACCAGTGATCCAACAGTGTGACATAATACCAGCTGAGTTTTGTTCGGTCACCACAATCTTCTGACATTTATATGGCAAATCTCTAACTATAGACTTACTCAATTTCTTCAGCAATTGATCTTTATCCATTCCACCATGCTGTTTTGCATCAATAAGGCCAAACATTTGATGCAAAGCATCAGAATTCATTTCTGGCTCACTAATGCAGTTTCTCTGCACACGATGCATGAGTTGCATTTCATGACCAGTTCCTTCCTTCACAAAAATGGAGACAGACTTCACGCTACGAAGAAACAGAAGAGCTTCAGAAACAACAGTAGAGAAAGAAGCAAAGAGAGACATAACATCATCAGGGGAATATCCTTCTTTCTTAATCTGGCTCCGTGAAGCAACACTAGAGCTCCTAAGAGGGAAGCGGAAAAGAGTGCCCGGAAAAAATTGCTGCAAGTCACAGCCAAAATATAAAAATGGAGAAAATTGATCAGGAAACTGCTCTAACACCTTTCTCCCCACAAATTTTATTCTCAGCCCCGGGTGGGAGGGGGAGATCCCTGGCAAATAACTAGCATGAGGATCAAACATAACGATGTTTTCCCCAGAAACAAACGTGGGAATGTCTGTGAAATGATAAACACAATTAAAGCCCAATCCAAATCTTCCAATTGCAAAAGGCTTTTCAAGTTTGCTTTCCTGACCAATACGAGATATTGCATATAAATCTTGTGGACTAAATACAGAATCATTGAAGCAGTAAAGGGCAGGGCCTTGCCAGTCAGCCATTTCAGGAGAGAGAACAGAAGAAGTTCCATATTGAGTTTTATCCAAAAGAAAGATCACCTCAGAAGCTCCTGCATCTTCAGCATTTTGAACCAGCTCAAAGAGAATTCCAGGTCCATCTGCATACATCTCGAGTATATGTCTGAGCCTTGTTGTCAAGGCTTCATGCTGTCCAAAGGCTTCTGCGGCTCCAGATAAACTCAAATTCATTGAGTCAGCGCTCTCAGCTAGCAAGATTCTACGAAGTGAGCAGACACCAAGCTTCTCTGCAACCTCATTTGATATGTTTCCATGAACAAATTTATGAGTTCTCCTTGCATTCAAGACTGCAGCAGATGGACCACTAAATAAGGTATCAGTGTCATCGGACCCAAGCAACCAGGGGGCATCATTATAAACTAAATCATTAGCAGGGAATAGCCTCCCTGATACATCTGGCAAATAGATCTTAACTTGTTCATGAAATTGAACCCCTGAAAGATGCTGAACAATCAGTATCGCTGCCCTGATTTCGTTGGCATCAAGTGGAGATGAACCTTTTCTGGCAGCCATTCTGCCTAAAATATTAGCATAATCAGAGGGCTTCAAAAACTCTCGAATGCCAAGCTCCAAGAATAACTCCTTGAAAACTGCTAAATCCATTGGTATAACACGTATATAAGGAGCCAAGTGAAGAGGACCATCAAGAACTACCTCATCAGAAGTTGCAAAACCATCTCCCACCCAAATCCAACGGCAACCTTCCAAAACAGCCTTTACAATGTCCATCTCATCAGAACCAATCATGTTCATTAATATAGAGTATATCCTTGGCATTGCTAGAGCTAACTCCTGACGGAGCACCTGTTCATTCACAATCTCATTGTTTTTCCCAAGCTCAAGCAACTGGGCAGCAATTGCACTCCCCCCTGGTGGAGCTAGCCATCCCAGGTTATAGGACAATGCTGTCGAAGAACATTCACCATCTAGTATTCGCATGCTTGCGGAAACAAGCCACAAGTCTGTTTGCAATCTCACAAGCTTTGGGGGAGCAACTTTGGATGATACAACAGGCCATGGTAAAGCTTGAAATGGAGAAGAAACTAACACCGGACACCAACAAATCATTCGGAGATCATTCCAAAACTTTTCCAGGTCAGATCTCATGTTGCGAGGCTTAAATGCAGTTGCAGCTCGTGAGAATATTCTGTTTACAGTTCCTTGATCATCACTTGATTGATTGGGAAGCCATTTCATCGCATTTACTTCTAAGTATGAAAGAAGTATTTTACCTCTTGAATGTGCCTTTTCCTGATCTTCATTCATCATTCGCTCAACTTGTCGGGCACTTTCTATGACGGTCTCAGGAGTTACAGATGTCCTAAGGCCCAAACCCTGCAGCATGTCCAAGATGCCAGATTCTTGGAAAGGGCCAGAGGGGAAACTATCAGAGTCTTCTAGCAAAGCATATAATTCGTCGTTACGAGGATCATAAAACATTGAAGGACATTTAAGTGCACCAGTAATGGTAGGAACAAATTCCAAATTTCTCAAGTAATCCCGAAGAGATGTGTCTTCAAGAGATAACTGTGGCAGGTTTTCCAGAATCGAAAGCATAACACTGTCACGAACTTCAGTATGCATTTCTTTTATACTATTTAACACTTGCTGCCTGTAAAAGCAAGCTTTCCCCATTCTCTCAACTTCATAATATCTTAACAAAATCTCTTCTTCACTATTTGAGGAGCAAAGAATGAATTCACCTCCAAGAAGATACTTGGGAATTCCTAAAGGAGGTAAGTACTTTTGAGGATTCTCTAAGTCAGAAAAACAAAAATGTTGAACAGATTCTCCAGTATAGACTCTATAAATGGGCAGTTTCCTGCACTTTTTTATTCTAGAACTGTTAACAGAATCTCCCACATACCATTTTGGATCAAGAAGAAATTCACGTAGCTCATTCCTCTCTTCAGATGTCAAGTTACAACTAAATGTTTGTATCATACTGCCATTTGAAGAGACAACATCAAAAATGGATTCCAAAACACCTGAAAAATTGGAATCAAATACATAATGAGACAAATCAGGATGTTCAACACCATAATCAGGGTCCAGTATCTTGCATCCAATCTTCACAAGAATGTCTTGAATTCTATCAGAAAGTTTCTCTGCCTTGATAAGCTTTGACTGTCTAGAAGGTCGATATAAATATCCAGAGGTTGCAGGCAAGATAGGCCAATCACCAAACAACGATAATCCCTCACCCTGATTCTGGATATATTGCCAAAATAGCATAAACCAGGATTTAGTTGGATAAGCAGAAGATGAATCTGGTTCCCAGAGAACTTTGCTTTTATATCTCCATTCAGCAGGTACAAATCTAGGAAATAACTTAACAAAATGCTGAATACCGAAAACAGTGAGATTTGATTTTGATGACGTTGCAATAGCAGATAGCCTACTCAGTATGCTAAGGGGAATGGTCCTGTCAATTATTCTATCAGAAATTTGTCGAAGCAGCATGTATTCTAACTCATTACAAACAAAATAAGAAACCCCTTTCATGGCTTCTGAAAATAAACCAAAATCACCATTCGCCAAAGGAATCAATGACAGGTTATTAGCATAAGTACCTACATCAGCATCAATCAAGTCCTCCAGACAATATTCCAATAATACAAGTTTATAGGATTTGCTCAAGCTCGTAAGAGTTTTGCAAAACCTAAGAAAATGGCGCACTGTATCTGAAGTGACAACTTTTTGCTGAAAATCAGTAGCATATTTCAGAAACATATCAAACAGGTAATTTGGCAAATGGACAATTGGCATTCCTAGCTGCAGCAGGGCTTCAGCAAGTTCCTTGCTCTTTCCAAACGCCTCATCATGAAGAAAAGCTTCTACTGGTGAGACCCACTTTCCTCCTCCTAGATCAGAATACAGCACAGCAGAATTACCGATATTTTTGTATATGTGCTCGACCAAAATGCTCCATGGCTCGTCAAAGGAACCCCTGGGCCACAAAGAATAGTATGAATTTGTTGGACCTAGCAGCTTTTGCACACCCAGCAGCATTTGCATAAAAATAGGAGCTATAACATCTTCCAAAAGAAGCCTATTCCATATAGAACGAATTTTTCCACTTCTGTCCATATCTGCTCCATACCAAATGCCACGTCGGTTCGAGGAGACCTCGAAGTATGCATTAACTTGCACTGTCAGCCCAGTTCTCACTGGCAAAGGAAGAAAACAGAATGCCTGACCAAGCTTCAGAACAGCATTCTGTTTAAAATGCATCAAAGCAATATGACATTTTAGTAAGGTAGGCAAGAAGTCTGGGGGAAGAGGTACTAAACCACTCAAACCAAAAAGGGTACTACCCTTGCTTTTTTTAGAACTTAGATATACTTGTGTAGAACACCACAAGGTTAACCAATTAATGTAATAAACAAATCTTCTCAGCTAAAACCACAGCATCTTCAAAGAAAGCAAACTGAATTCAGAAGCCTAAATAAACAGTATGTAAGAATAGGATTCTGATACAGTTGAAGGATAACTGCTAAAGCACCAAAAAACATAAATAAAATAGATAAATAAGAAACCCACGTGTGCACAAAAAACATATGAAAATAAACAGTTATAGAGTCATGCACACATATTAGTAACAACTATTTTAAAAGAAAAGATCAAATATTCCAACTGCTCACTCAGGCACTCAGCTACTCTCCAACAGCAACCAAAATTTTCCATAAGGAAATATTGCTATTTAAAAAGAAAAAAAAGAAGACTTCCATACCAAGGAACTGGCATTAAATAAATTTTTAAATATGGACAATTAAATTTTGCTTCTTCTCATCAATAAGAATATAGGCAGTGCAATATTATTAAAACAAAATGCAGTGAATATTCAGAAGAGACTTTTGAACATAGTTTTATGAAACATGATCTTGGTAAAAAAGTTTTTTAAAAAAATGCCCTATGCAACATGCTAATTTGTTTATTATTTAATAAACAAGAGTTACAAATTGCATATAAGGATAAAGTAAAATAAAGTTCGATTACAGAAAGAATGTTTTCGATGTTATAAAATCAAGACTAAAGCAACTCAAAAACAAGCTTTGGGTAAACTATCCTGCAAATCCTTTTGCTGGCCCGGCCATGTACACCACTATTTGTTACAAATTGGTTTGCAGTAAAAACCAAATGCTTATTATGCTCCTATGCAGAATCAGGAGAATGATAGAATATTGTAATAAATAAGCTCTTACTAAAGGAAAACTTCTATCGTGACAGATGTTTAATGTATACATCACCTATTACTTTGAAACTCAGTCCATGCTGTCATGGTACCATACAAGAGAAATTAGTTCAAACAGCCTCAAATGCATGTCAGGCTCCATAACTTACAAAGCCATGACATCAATTATTTTCAATGCCCTACACATTACAAGACTTATTAACGTTAACCAAACCCACATAAAACTATTAAATAAAGCAGCCACACTATGAAATAACATCTCAGGGCAAATAATTGGAGCATGAAAAAGTAATAATTAAAACAAAAAAAAAAATCCATCAAAAGGAAAATGCTATAAGAGATATAAATAAATAAGGCAAGAGAATAAAGGGCATAAATGAAAGAAAATGGAAAGGACATAATAAATATTGCAAATTACATCTGATGAATCGTCCGATATACATGCTGCAACCGATGCCCAAGGTAGCAGGTGAATATCGTACTCTTTGGAAGCAGTAGCAGCAAAAGAACCAATCCTACTAGAAGCAGAAGCCATTGTTTGCACCATATAAAAAGTATCAATCCTCTTTCTACGTTCACTTCCCGTCATCACTTCACTCAAGAATTGGACTGAATACGCATCCACCTCATTATTTGTACTATTAACTGATTTTGACAATCTTAGAAGTGCTTTCCGGTGCCAAACAATGTCATCATTGGGGGAGCTAACAGAGCACGAAAAAAGCTTTTTCGGCTCAGATTCTCCAGCATCCCAGGTATACATTTCTATAGACAATACACTTTTAAGAAAAAGTAAAGAGAAAACTCCTTCCTCAAAAAGCTGTGAAAACATAGAGGAAATATCATCCTCTGAATAAGCTTGCCGCGAGAGCTTACTTCGGGCAGCTTGATCCGAATTCCTCAAGGGAAAACGGAATAAAGTTCCAGTGAAAGGATTTTTCATATCACAACCAAATGCACAATAGGGAAGGAATTGATCTTGGTATATTGAAAGAGCTGAAGAAGAAACATAGTCAATTCTTTTTCCAGGATTGGCTGTTGATACATTGGGAAGATAAAAACCCTGAGGATCAAATAATACCACGTAATTGCCACTCACGAATGAAGGCAAATCGGTCAAGTGATAAACCGAATTGAATCCAACCCTGGAAAATTAAAAGCAAATAAATATGTAGAACGCCAAAATAAAAAAATAAAATAAAAGATTGGAGAGATGTGAGAAAGCGGGTTACCCGAATCGGCCAGTTTTCCAGGCTTGGCCATGTTTACTGCTCCCGCCAATTCTAGAAATACTAACAAAATCTTCTTCTGTGAAAACGGCGTCGTTGTAAGCAAGCAGAGATGGACCTTGCCACTGCGCCAAAGAATCCGACAACAATGAATCCGACCCGTGCGGTCGGTGATCAAGGCAGAGACGAACAGTGGTGGCGCCGGCATCATCGGCGTTCTGAATAAGTTCCTTTAACACGGTCGTGCCCTCCGGGTAGTTCAATAGGACCTCCCGGATCCGCCGGGTCAAGTCCACTTTCTGCCCGAAGTCTTCGAGAAGAATCGAGTCCCGTGCCGGCGTCTCCATTCTTTCCCTTCTTTTCTATTTTCGCGGGCTATCTTTTTTTTTTTTTTTGGTGGAAATTTTATGAGGGGAAATACGAAATCAAGCCATACAGATGGATTTATTTACGGGCAAATCAGAGAGAGCATATGGGTGCGGGAAATGAAACAAAAACTCCTATATTTGAGCCAAAAAGAAAAAAAAGTATCCAATGGCGGTGGAATGTTTGGTTACAGCTATTTGTCGTTTGGTTTCTGATTATCGCCGGTGAACGTAGTTTTTACGGTCAACCAACTAGACGTCAAAGTTTTTTTAGTAATTTCGAGATGCCGATTCCTACCATATTACATAATAATAAATCTTAATAAAATATATCAACAGTTTTTGTCAACCTTTCTAATTTTTTTTGTCCTTACTCTTTTGTCGTTAATATGTAATATTTTTATTTACAAAGAAAAGGGTATTGTCAACATTTTTTATTTGGCCGTCAGCGTGTAAGGCTTGTAAGCCTAGTAAAAGGGTTTTTTTTTTTGTTTGCATCCCTTTTTATTTTTCACATTCATTTTTTAAATTATTTTTAGATAAAATTATTTAATTATTTTATAAAAAATTTAAAATTTAAAATTTTTATTTTAAAAAATTTTTAAATTATTTTGAATTTAACTGATTTAAAAATATCATTAGAAACATTGATTATTTACTCTCAATGGTTAAAATTAAGAAATAATTAAAATGCTCACATGCTATAATCAAGTATTTTTTTGTTAAAATTATAGATTTTATTTATCTTTATAAATAAATTTATAATTATTTAAAACAAATCATTTTTTTCAATGTTATGGAAATATGAGAATTTTTTTCTTTAACTAAATTTTTGAATTTATGGTTCAAAGTTTAGGATTTCTAGATTTAGGGTTTTAAGGATTTTTAGGTTTAAATAATTTATATGATATGAAAAATCGGATATATATTTTTAGTAAATTATATAACTTATCGAAAATACATTTTAAAAGTTATTTGACTTACCAAATATAGATATCTAAAATCTTTTAAAAATGATAAGAATAATTAAATAATTTCACTTAGAGATAATTTTGAAAAAAAAATAAAATGATTGTAGAAAAAAAAAAAAGAATGCATTTAAGTAGTGTTTGGTAAGCACTCAGTGAATTTACATGAATGTGCTCTTAGATCACCAAGAGTGATTAGATTATTACCTTAATTAATCTAATTCCCATATAAAAGCATTTACTTCCCATACAAAAGAGTGAAAACTTTTATCACCATGTGATTTGATATATAAAATTAATAATAATTAATTTTATTTATTTAATGTGTGAATTAAAAATTTGTTACATCTTAAAATTGTAATTATTTTATATTATAAATTTTATATTTTTAAATTAATATTTGTTATAACAAGTTTAAAATAATTTGCGTATTTTTTTAACTTTTTTAATATCTTATATATAATATAATTTTTATTTTTCTTTTATTATGAATTTAATAGATTGATTTTATTTATTAACTCAAAATTTTTTACATAATTTATATTATCAAAATTAATTTATCTATCAATAAATATATATATATATATTAATTTAATAATTTTATTATATTTCATTATAAAATAAATAAATATTAATAATATTTTATAAATAATTATTTTTAAACAATCTTAAAATTATTAATTTGTATAATTATTACAATATGCATGATTATCTTCGCACTTTTAAACAAAATAATGTTTGATTTTTAATAATATCAAACATAGTGATCTTTATTTCATAAAAATTAATTATTGTTAACAAAACAAAGTGATTTCAAATTAAAGTGTTAAAATCACCCCGGCAACTACATGATCATGATAATCTTGCAAAAGATGCCCAACATACCTTAGAAGCTCCTCAAATAAAATTAAAGCAAAGGATGAATTGCTCTTATATATATCAAGTTTTAAACTATTTCAATAATATCCTTACATAGTTATGCGAGACATTCTTAAGAAATTTCAATACATTTCTATTTTTATTAGAAAAATATATTTGAAATTGAAAAAGCCAAATTCAAAGGAATTGCATTGTTTTTTAATTATTACAAAAGAATTATTTTACATTATAAATATGAATATGTAGCTAGGATAACGAAGCAAGAACATCACAACAAATCAATAAAGGTTGACAGGAAAAAAAAAAACATTTAATTTAGTTTAATAGAATACATGTAATGTTAGTCCGAATTAGGCTGCCTATTTGGTTATTGAACCGCATGATTGACGATCAGGATGTTCCAATGAAACCTGCACTACATTATTTGTCAACATGCAGGTGCAGTTCCGTAACCAGAACCATATATCAACAATTTTTTTCAACCTTTGTAAATAAATATATATATGTAAAATGTAGAATAATATACAACGTGAGATGCTCTACTTGATTCTTACAAACTCCAAATCAAAACGTGGAGGCTACCACTATCTCAATGTTGTCAATTTCAGACACATTTTCAAACCTGTTCCTTTTCTTCCATTCTTGATTAAGGCCCTCTTCTCTATAAAGGATATGTTGACATAAGGGGCAAGGCTGCGTGGCAAGGCAGCTTCGGACAAACATTGTTGTGTCTTGATTTTGACCACTTAAGCTCAATCCAGGCTCCCTCTAATCATGAACAACTTAAACTTTGATGTCTGCCTTATCCTGGTTGGCGTGCTGGGATTTCAGGCAGCCATTGCTTTGGCTAATGAGTTCAACTATGGCGAAGCTCTTGACAAAACCTTCATGTTTTTTGAGGCACAAAGGTCAGGTAAACTACCCTTCGACCAGCGTGTCAAGTGGCGTGGTGATTCGGGTCTCAAGGACGGATCTCTTCGAGGGGTAATTAAATGATCCAAGCCTTGATTTAGCTTCGAAATTATTGAAACAAGAATTAATTGTTTTAACTTGTTTTGGTGATCGAATGCAGATGGACTTGGTGGGAGGATATTATGATGCAGGGGATCATGTGAAGTTTGGGCTGCCAATGGCATTTACTGTGACAATGCTTGCATGGGGAACTATTGAATACAGGAAAGAAATCACTAATTTAAACCAAATGGCACATACTTTGTGGGCGATCAGATGGGGCACTGACTACTTCATGAAGGCTCACACTCAGCCGAGTGTTCTATGGGGACAGGTAGGAACTTTTAGCATTGTAAGAACCGAGTTTGGTAACCTGTTTCATATTAGTTTCGTTAGCCCACCTATGAATTCAGTCAATATTCTTTATTAATTAAATTAAATAGTATTTGAATCAAAGGGCTTTTGCTTTTGCACCTTTACATGTATTTGCCAAAGTTTTTTCACCGTTAATGTGTATGACCTGACGTGTGGATGTGTTATGAAATGGTATAATGTACAATTGATCAGGTTGGCGATGGGGAGTCTGATCACTATTGCTGGGAGCGGGCAGAAGACATGACAACTCCAAGAACAGCTTAGAAGCTCGACCAGGATCATCCAGGATCAGACCTTGCTAGTGAAACTGCTGCTGCTTTGGCTGCTGCTGCAATAGCTTTCATGCCTTACAACTCTTCTTACTCGGATCTCCTCCTAGTTCATGCCAAACAGGTAAGAACATCTATTACACCCAAAGTTATATTAATAGAAATATATATGTGGAAAAGGTCAACATTTTCACTGCTGCTTTAATCTTCAATCTTTGCAGCTTTTCTCATTTGCGGATAGATTTAGAGGCCTATACGATGATTCCATCCAGTATGCTAAGCAGTTTTATACATCATCAGGTTATTCAGTTAGTAATGTAAAGCCTAAATTAAACTTGTTACAGATAATCATTTTTCTCAATGAACTTTTCTTTGGTGAAGGATGAATTATTGTGGGCTGCCACTTGGCTATTCCGAGCAACTGGTGAGGAGCAATATCTGAAGTATGTTGTAGATAATGCTGTCTACATGGGTGGAACTGGATGGGCAGTCAAGGAGTTCTCTTGGGACAACAAGTATGCTGGTGTGCAAATCCTTCTTTCAAAGGTAAAACAATTCCAAGTTGATTGATTTGTTTACTCTTTGTGGGTTTTGAAACCTTGATTTGCTGCAAATCACCCTGGGTTAACGCACATAATTGCAAATTGAGTTTGTTTTTCGGTCATCTCATGTTCAAATAATGCAAATATAGAATAGAAAGTCCTCCATCATTCAATTAATAATTACAAACACCATAGGCAGTTAAAGATAGGTGGCGCCATGGCAGGTATTGATGGAGCAAAAAGGTGGTGCATACACTTCAACATTAAAGCAATACCAGGCTAAAGCAGATTACTTCGCCTGTGCTTGTCTGCAAAAGAATGATGGCTACAATGTCCACCTGACTCCTGGTTAGTATTGTTTGATGAAATTCTTATTTGATTGGCCTACAGTTCTTTGTTTAAAGTGTTTTTTTCTTTTTTTTTTTTACCTTTGTAGTGTGATACCTAAACCTTTCTGCTTATGTTTCTATACCAGGAGGTTTGATGTATGTTCGTCAATGGAACAATCTCCAATATGTCTCATCTGCGGCATTTCTTCTTGCTGTCTACTCTGATTATCTCTCTGCAGCAAATGCTAAACTCACTTGTCCTGATGGCCAAATTCGACCACATGAAGTTCTAAATTTTGCTCTGTCACAGGTATATCTACACTAGCCTCACAACTCAATGTTGACTTCAAATTAAATAACCGATAACAAAATAAAACTAGTTGCTCAATCTGTTTGACGCCCTTTTACATTGAAACCGCTTCTGGAGACGTGTCTGTAAGGGTGGGATCTTGGAATGACTTCCAGGATAAAAGTACTCTAGATTTCCATTGAGTACTTGGAAAATACTTCAATTGCAGAACAGAAAACGTAAATCGATCTCTTTAACTTGAACTTGGAAATGTTTTTCTTTACTTCCAATGAGATAGCACGAATATTGCATCCTTACTTCCATCATAATATGGCTTTATTTGCTTCCTTCGATGAAAAGGCTTCGTACATTTACTTATGGACTTGTTGCACAGGCTGATTACATTCTTGGCAAAAATCCCAAGTCTGTGAGCTACTTGGTTGGTTATGGACCAAAATATCCAACTCACGTCCATCACAGAGGTGCTTCAATTCCCTCAATCTCAGTTCTCCCGTCGATAGTGCGCTGTATCCAAGGATTCGAGGCCTGGTACCGCCGCCTTGAAGCGGATACCAATGTCATATACGGTGCACTGGTGGGAGGACCTGACCAGAATGATAACTTCAATGATGACCGTTCCAACTACGAGCAAACTGAGCCTACACTTTCTGGTGCTGTACCGCTTGTAGGCCTCTTCTCTAAGCTCGAAAGCCTATATGGAAACATAGGTAAGAAACGCTTTCTCATCTTATTAGCTGAAAAATAATCAATAGAAAAAATGGAAGTAAATTCCTTGCTGCCAGATTGTAGAATTCTAAATTTCCTGTCCTAAATTTCACAGGTCCGTACAATAAACGACCAACAACATACAAACCAAATGCATCTGGTCAAGTTCATATATTACGTACTTCCACAGACTATCATCACCAGCAAACACTGGCACCCAGCACATCTTCAGGTAAATGACCACCAAATATAAAGAACTTAAATATTTTCTTGAGTTAAATTCTGGTGATCTTACTTTTGGAAATGTTCAGGTGTCCCAGTTGAGTTCCTTCACTCAATAACCAGCACATGGAGTGCTGGTAGAACGACTTACTACCGGCACAAGGTATTAATCAAGAATAAATCTGAAAAGCCGATAACAGATCTTAAGCTGTTGGTCGAGGACCTGTCCGGTACCTTATGGGGCCTCTCTCCAACTCCACAAAAGAACACCTATGAGCTTCCACACTGGCTTAAAAACTTGAAACCGGGTTCAGAGTGCAGCTTCATTTACGTTCAAGGAGGACCCCAAGCCAAGGTTTCAATTCTCAGCTACCATTTACTCCACCAACACTTCATACCCACATACTAATATTATACACCTTTGGCTGTGACTCTAACGTTCTGTACGTAAACTGTAATTTACCCGTTTAATTGATAAGCTTAGTATTATAGAACAATAAACCTATAATTTAACGGAAAATTCTATAGTAATACCAAGATTTTTTTTTTTTGGCCAATAACTAAACGTATCAAGTTAAATTTCTTAGTATAGCATAACAATTTACAAGGCTTTTTATTGTCGAGTTAACCCTGCAATTAACTCATTAACCGCTTAAAAAGTATAGGAAAATTTTCACGTAGATGCCAGACACAGGAGAAAAAAAGAAAAAAAAATCCAACAGACAAAATGCGCTTTCGGAGGTGAAAGAGACTCCACCGCGCCGTTTGTTTGCTTCCATGATACCAATAACAATATAGCCCATAGGCGGCAAGGGCAATTCTGATAAATTAACAAGATTAAATAGCAATTGCATATAACATTTCAGGAAATTTGACATAATAATTAGATAAGGTGGAAAACCAAAAATATAATCTACCAAAAACCATTGCTATTTTTAACATAAAAGCAAGGACCAGAAGGCAAGGGAAAAAAAGAGAATATTGGACCCCCACTTCATTAATCCTCGTCATTGAAAGTAGTCTTCTTTCCTGCATTTGAGAAAAAAATAAAATTATGAGAAAACCTTGAGAAGACGCCAATCTATCTCCAACTGATGTAAATAGCAAGTACACATCACGATCTATCTCGGCCAAAAAAAATAATGAATTAATTTAAGTAAAACAAGCAGCCATTTAATCTATCTCAGCAGAAAAAATAATTAATGTAAGCAAAACAAAAGGCAATAGAAACTACCTGTGCCAGCAGCAGCAAGGTTTGGCTTATTAGGTGTTCCTCGTCCTCTGCCACCACCACCACCACCAAATCGACCCCCACGCCGACCACCACGACCACCATGGCCACCACCATTCCTTCCCCCACTCCATCCACCACGGCCACCACCATCCCTTCCACCACTCCTACCACCAACTCTTCCACTGCCAGGACCATCACGAAATTCACCTCTTGGTTTTGCCTCATTCACAGTCAAAGAACAATTATTAAGTTCTGATCCATCAAGTTCTAGAGCTTTGTTGAAACTATCACCATCGTTGAAATCCAAATAAGCATAACTGCAATTGCTTGTATTTAATCAGTTATGGCAAACCACTAAACTTTACAACATACTAAAATTACAAGGAAAAAGGTTATTTTCAAACGAGGACAGTCCAATATTGGCTATCCAAGGATATTTCAACCAGGGTTAAGTGCATATACCATAACTATAGAACAAATCCAACATGCAGTAATTGAATAAGTTCTAACTGCAATTGATTGTATTTAATCAGATATGGCATACCACTAAACATTACAACATACTAAACATTACAAGGAAAAAGGCTACTTTCAAACAAAAACAGTCCAATACCGGCTATTCAAGGATACTTCAACCAGGGTTAACTGCATATACCATAACTATAGAACACATCCAACATGCAGTAATTGAATAAGTTCTACTTCGCTATTTCTCAGATATTAGCACCAGGTTCAAGCTTATCCAGAATCAAGGAGGCTTCATCTCATATATACATGTCAATGACTAAAAAAGAGGATAAAAGGGGAAAATGTGAATAATTCCAACAATTGATGTGGAAAAACAAAAGAAACCTACATAAGCAAAACTGTAGACAACAGGAATCTTCAGAACAACAAAAATAACAGCAACAATAGATAGAAAGTACAAACCCTTTCACAGCACCAGTCTCCCAATCTACTGGTATTGCCACCCTAGAAATCTCTCCACAAGAACCAAAGTGCTCTTCCAAGGAACTCTTAGTCTGTGAATGATCAGACACAGCAGATGATGATATAAATACAAATAACTTTCAAACACAGTGGAGGAGAAGAGGAGAGAGCAACAAAAGCTAATATTTAAAGTAAACCACTAACTTCATCCTGACCAAGAGATTGATCAAATCCTCTGACATATATTGTTCGAGCCTGACCTCTTCCACCTTTCTGGAATGAATTGTTCCCACTGCTGCAAAGGATGGCACACAAAATAAGTTAAATAAATTAATCCAACAAGCAGAAACGTCTAGATCAGGGGTTCAAAAGTTTAATATCAATTCACAAAATGAGATAGAGAAAAAAAATTGCCTGCTGTGTGGTGTATATGCACCCCTTTCACGGGCCAAATCAAGTCTAATAGAACGATTCATCAAATATTCACCATTCAATTCTAGAGCCTGCAATAAAGAATGATGTTGGCTAGTAACTTAAAAATTGCTTACCTAAGAACAAATAAGTATTAAAGCAAAAACATTTGCAATTCATTTGTAGCCTGTTTGATAATGTGCTAAAAATTTTTAAAGAGGTTTGGTTACAAATTTTATGAAACCATTCATAAAATATTTTAATATGAATCATCATTTACATGACATACGATTTGAGAAAATCATACCAATTTTACAAAAATCTAAACAAAAAACTAGCATAAAATAGTTTTACAGTAGGAATACAGTGCCTTGCAGATTTCAACACTAAATTTTAGCACTCTATTTCTCATAATTTAAATTATTAGTTCATTTAACTAGACCTTGGACTAATAAAGATTGACATGTTGCCAACAGTTATTCTATATCACAAGCATGCAACAGTCATATGCTTGCCAAACATACAAACAGATGACACAAAGACATTAATTGATTACTTGTAGAAACCATAAATAAAAAATTTAGTTTATACATCAGATGTCCATGTGAAATCCAAAATTGACAGAAGATATCTACCTTCTGTGCAGACTCGGCAGTGGCGAATTCAACATGTCCATACCCCTTAAAATTCCCTTCAGCATCAGAAGAAAAACGTATATCCACAATCTCACCAGCATCTTTGAAGAAATTCCTTCTGCAGAATAATATTGATCAGATGAAAATTAAAAAAAAAAAAAAAAACAATTTTGAAGGACCAGAGAACCTAAACGTACACGTCAGCTTGTTCAACTTGATAAGGTAAGTTTCCAACAAACAGTGTCTTGGACCCTGTAGATTGAACTTGAGGAGTTGAAGAAGTTTGGGGCTGCAAAAAAACTCTCATCAGATTCCAACCTTCTTGACAAAATGAGCCCAAACAAGCAATTGGGAGGAGATTTGAAAGAAACTGTAAGGGAAATTGTCACCTACAGATTTCTTCCCAGACTTCAAATCCTGCTGTTTGGCAGTTTTCTGTGGTGTTGTAGCATACACCATTTCTAAATCTGTGTCCTGTTCCAATTATAAGTACAACACAACATTAGGCAATCATCACATCAACCTTCCAAAAGTATAAAGAAGAAAAGATCCATACCTTTTTCTTTATAGTTTCTTCTTCATCACTTTCCTCATCATCATCATCGGATGACTCTTCGGATTCCTCCTCTTCACTATTGCTTACTTTTTTAACTTTAGCATCTTTTCCAATATCTGAAGCAACCTTGGGCTACAGCTTATAGAATTAGACAACTTAGTAAATTCATACTAGAACAACAATAAAAGAAACATCAAGACAAACATAGATGATCAAGAAAATTTAACCTTTTTTATTGCAGGTTGTTCATCCTCACTTTCATCAGAGCTGTCATCCTCACTATCATCACTTTCCTGCAATGTGAGGGAAAGTTAAAAAACAAAAGAATCATACCATCATAGTTTACACAATGTTGAAAGACTTGTAGATAATATTTACAGATTTAAATCTCAGAATCAATTAAACACTTAGATAAACTGGAGGTGCTAAGACATCTCAAAAATCATCACTAGCAAGAAAAATGTATGCCCAAAAAAAGGGATCAACCCAAAAATTTAAGGAAAGCAGAGGTGCATTATCCTCACCGTATCAGTATTTAGCAAAAACCAAAATAGACTGACTGATTAATGCACAGGAGAATACAAGCCCATTAAACTACATTGCTTTGAGATAATCATTCATTAGGAAGAAGTTCTAGAAAATAAAATATATGAGAAGCTACACACATACTATCAGGAGTTGTCCTCCTACAGAAAAATGCCAAAGACCGGGAGAGCAATTACTAGCACAAAATGTAAGGTAGACCAACCTGTTTGGATTTTGTCCCAGCTGTGGGAAGTGGCCTTTTTGAAGCAACAGTAACTTTGTTTGAAGGAGCCTGCAGCGTGATATTAATGAAGTGCCATATTAGTACAAGTTTAATAAGACCACAAACATGGTTACAGGAAAAGCTTCATTCTTGGAACAATTGTTCATTCCTCATCCCCAAGATCTTATAAAAGGAATTTTGCCACCAGACTTAAAACCATAGGATTATCTCATCACCTAAGGAATCAGTGTCTAAGGAACTTTCAGATGACTGTTCTTTCTTTGCTGTTTTCCCAATAACGGTTTTCTTATTACCTTTGGTTTTCATCTTTCTGCTAATCATTGACAATAAGAACGATAAAAAATAAAGAACCATGACCAAATTTAAACTACCACATTGTCAAATTCAAAAGTTAAAGCACACCTCTTCTTCCTCAGAATCTGATTCTGATGAGCTACTACTGGAATCCTGAATATTCTTGGGGGTAGAAGCAGAAACTTTCTTCACAGCAGTTGCGTTCTTTACATCCTAGTGCAGTGCAACAGAATCAATAAAATATGTACAAAACCAAAAATCATAGAAAAGAGAACTTTATGAGTGAGATATCACACCTCTTCATCAGAATCATCCTCAGAGCTACTGCTGCTTGATTGAGATTTGCTATCACTTGATGCCATTTTACCCTTTGCAGTCACAGAAGGTACATTCTTCAAAGCAGAAGTTGGCAAAGTAGCCTTTCGAGGAGGTTCCTATACAAGTGTATATTCAATTAGGGGAGCTATAAAACATCAAAAATAATTCAATACCAATAAAAAAGGTAGGTTTTATAATGATGTCTAGTTCTATTATAAAACCAAATTTTAACATGCTTTCCAAGAAACATGTTTGCATGAAGCTTTGCTAAATATTCCAAAGATTCATTTATTGACATTGTGGGCATCGTAACACTCACTTCCTCTTCATCCGAAGAGCTGTCACTTTCTGAACTATCACTTGACTCCTTTTTTGGAACAATAGTAGGTCCTTTCTTAGAGGCAGGTTTTGATTTTTCCTATATATGCAAAAGATTACACCTATAAATTACAATAACAAGAGTTACCCAATCCAATTAAAAAGCAAAGATCATTCAACAACAATCAAGCACTTACTTCATCTTCATCTGAGCTACTATCATCATCTGAAGAATCTGAACTGCTGGAGGACTTGCCTTTCTTAACAGGTACAGAGCCATTTTTAACAGCTACTGCTACCTTTGTTTTTGCAGCAGGCTCCTAAATCAAAATTCAACAACAACGATAAAGTCACGAGCTTGTATAGAAATTCTTGTGTTCTATCCAGCATTAACCTCAATACTCACAACATCCTCATCAGAATCATTATCAGAAGAAGATTCTGTACTGCTATCAGCTTTTACTGTCTTAGAAGAAGGAACAGAGCCATTTTTAGCAACTACAGGTTTTTCATTCCGAGCAGGAGCTTTCTGTAAAAAAAAAAAATTGAACATAAAGTCGAGCAAAAGAACATATGAAGCATGCAAATGTTATAAGAAAGAGTGCAATACTCACTTCATCGGACGATGAATCTTCCTCACTACTAGACTCAGAAGAATCTGAACTGCTAGCTTGTTTTGTTTTCTTTGCAGGCGCAATGGCTGGCTGTTTCTTCAAGGGAACAGGTTCCTAAACACAAAAAAAAAAAACATAAAAATAAGCAAAGCAGATACAGACATGCCTTCATGTGCTTCATTTTATCATCCTATGAATATGAATGTGTTACCTAGACCATTAAGAGAATTAAATGTAATACTCACTTCATCGGAGGATGAATCTTCCTCACTACTAGACTCGGAAGAATCTGAGCAACTAGCTTGTTTTGCTTTCTTTGCAGGTGCAATAGCTGGCTGTTTCTTCAGGGAAACAGGTTCCTGAACAAAAAAATAACATTAAAATAGGCAAAGCAAAAGCAGATAAAGACATGCCTTCATATGCTTCATCTTATCATCCCATGAATATGAATGCGTTAGAATTAATAGCCAAAACGTTAAAGCGGATAAATATCAAAAGGAACCAACAGAAAACATAAAAGTGAACTTTCAGCATAAATCAATATCAACACCAACAAATGTGGAATCACAAGAGAAACAGTTGCTGCCTTTGTGCATACATCTTCGGAATCAGAAGAGTCATCGGAGGAACTGCTAGTTTCATCTTTCTTCTTTCTTTGGGTCTTCGCTTCGACCCTTTTCTTTACAATAGCCTGTGCTACTCCATCGTTTTTCTTCTGCTTTTTCACAGCCACTTGTTTTTCAGGAGTTTCTTCCGCTTCTCTCTTGCCTATATGATCATAAAAAAATGAGAAAAGAAAACCCATAGTTTTAGAAACACAAGAATAAAGAAAATCATAAACAAGCAGTTCTCCTACAATGCAAATCAATTTGAAAATCTCGAATCTTTACTCACACATGCTACCAAAAAAAATCGAAAATAAAAAAAATTATATACCTTTCTTTCCAGACTGAGGAGGAGCTACAGCAGGAGCTGCTTCAACCTATAAAAAGAGAAAAGAAAAAAAATTAAACAAAATAAAATAGAAAAAGGATTTAAAAAAGAAGCCGACAAAATCAACCGGAGAAAATTATTGAATTAAAATGAGAATGAAAGAAGAAGAGTACTTTGGGGTAAGATTTCTTGCTTGATTTTCCCATATTTAGAGGAAAGAGATGCAAACCGTGGCTAGGATCTTCTAGGTTTTGTTAGCGAAGAAAAAAGCGCAAAACCCTACTACTACTATAGATATTTTGGGGGTTTAGGATTTTGAGGGAAGAAATGTGGCTATATGGCTTTTTTATTTGTACGCGTGGTGGAAGTCTAACGCTTAACGCTACCAAAAGGGGCAGTAGGATTAGGGTTTTTGAATGTCAGCAGGTGCAGCGTACGGCTTTTCTTGTACTCTTTTTTTTTTGTTTTATGAACCGGTCGAATTGCACGTGTCATACACGCACCGTCGGTTCCATCCTCGACGGTCCCTGGTGAATATTCGATTTATTTATCTTTTAGTGGGACCCAACTGTCATCTGGATTAGTACTTGCTAGAGTAAAAAGTGTCAGACAGAACCTAGCATTTCATATTTTGGCCAAAACAGTTTATTTTTTACTTTTTTATTTTCTCTCATAAATAAATTTTATAATTGTAAAACAAAACCTAATAAAAAATAATAATTCATATATTTTATTTAAAAGTGAACAAATAACTTAAAATTTATACCATAAATCTTTTCGAAATAAAAATAATATTATATTTTTGGAATTCTTAAATGTATTTTTTAAAAATAGAATAGATTAACTTATATTAATGTAAAATTAAAATTTTTTATATTTTTAAATTATTAATTTCAATAAATTCAATGAATAAAAAAAATCAAAAATTAAAAAATTAATTTGATTTTATCTTTTAAATCTATAAAAATCAATAATTAAAAAAATAATTTTTTTTAATTTTACATGATATAAGTTCATCCTTCTTTAAAATATTATTTTGTTTTGACTGTTCCTAATGAAAATTACACAACAGACAGGGAGAGAAGATCGCAATGACCACCTTATTTTATTATTATTATTATTTTTTTTTTGAAAAACAAAGTTGCAGGCCCTGCTCAAACTCAAAGGGCAGAGATACATGCATTAACCCTGAGTTTCTTTTCTTTTTTTGTTACAAATAAAATACATCACTTGTTAAAACCATTAATTACTAGCTAAATACTAGTATGACCACCATTTAATATAAAAAACTAAAAAAAAAAACTTGGAGCAGTGGCAAATGTGTTGACACAGATAACTGTTGTTGTACATGACGAAATGAATAATAAAATAAACAACTATACAAGTTTGATTTCCTCCACATTTGAGCGAAGTGTCAAATTCCTTGTGCTTTATGTTGTAGGCTTTTCTTAACCATCTAGAATTAGTACTACCCTATATAGGCAAAGAAGATGATACTGTGATAACTTGGATGCAAAACCAGTACAAAACATATAAGCGTTATCTCAAACCCGCATTGCCTGCTCTTTTATAGCCAGGTGAATCTCAAAATCTTAGCCTGTCTCTGGCAAAAAATAAATAAATAAATAAATAAATAAGCAAATAAACCTCAAAGTCTCGCCTGTCAAAAGCTATGCCATCCGATTGTGACAACTTCGAGCGTTTTTCAGCAAATCTAATTCCAACAACAACACAAAATATATCATATCATCAAATTCTAAAACTATTTAAGTATATGTCGGAAGTTTCCATTGCTCTCATCTGCTTCCCAACAATAAAAACAGGTACAAATGCAGATACTATTGATTCCAGCTACTCCAAAATAATGCAATTTCGGGTGACAAAAGTTGAAAATCAAAATCTTATACTAGAAATGCTGAGACCAAAAAAAAGAGAAACTGAATTTAGAACTCCTGGAGAATCAAATGGACCTTCCCTGCCTAATCGATCAATTGGAAACTGTTTGGTATTAAGTAAGATTCCTGTCATTGCAATGGCATGGAGCTTGAGACTGCTTAGTTACACATAATTCCTCATTCGCGTTGCAAGCTATATGTGCCTTCGAACAATACTAACAAAGTAAGTGACTGAAATATTGCATTGTTATTTCACGTATTCAACAAAGTTATGTTACAAGTTGAAACAAGTTACCTTCAACTATGAACCCACAAGGGCTCTAAAGAGAAAGGTTTCTCATTCCGTGCCCGGGCAGCTGAAGTTCCGGGCAGAGGTGCATGCACTGTTATAGGAAGAACCCACTCACTTTTCTCTCTACCTTCTATTAGAAGAGGATGCTCATATCTGAATTCAAGATCAAAAAGTTGTAGAGCAGCTTAACAATTATATTTGGCAACAGCTAAAGCATAAATCTTTTACTAAGTTTCAATAAAACTAAGAATACATTAAACCAATTTTAAGCCATTTCAACTACTGAGTCAAAGTGTAACCTCTCTTGTATGGCATTTTCAAATTCAGGTAACAATTTACGTGGAGATTTTTATCATAACTAAAGAGGAAATGGAATTCGACATACAAATCATATTAAAAACATTTACAGAAAGGACAATTTCTTTTGGAGAACCCACATAAAATTCAAACCATATATACCCAGTTACTGGAAGGTTGTCATAGTTTCATTAAAATGTTTTTAAAAAAATCTTTGGATTATTAGCTTCTTTTTTGCTAAACAGTGTTGCAGTATTCTATAAAAACACAAAAAAATTTTGCTGCCATAGAAAAGATTTAAGAGTATTAATAGTATATGCATATAGCCCACAAACATAAAACATTTTGACATAAAACCTTTTGACAATCTACGATGCCAAGTGAACCATTAGTAACAAACTCTTTAGATAGGCTAGAATGATTTGGTAGCAGTACCACATGCTCATACCTTGTCCAGTCTACATTCTTTGGAGTAGTGAAAAATTCAAATCTTAGAGCCCATTGCACCAAGACATGAGGAGTGGAAAAGGACATGGGGCCATCCATGGGAATAGAAAAGAGAAAACTTGTCTGTATCAAATCAGCAACAACCTCATGATGATCACTCTGAACCTACAAGAAAAATCAATAAACAAGATTACAATAACGTCTAACTGTTCAGAAGAACATTAGGTTTCTTATCTAAAGTCCTAGAGATTCAAAAAAAGCATCAAAAAAGAAACAGTTTGAAACTTCTAAGCCACATACAGATCGTTTATTATATGAAATGCTTGTACCAATGAAAAGGCAAAGCCCATTCTCAGTAATGGCATGACTAATGTTAAAAGAACCATAATTTCAAGAATAAACCACTTCAAGATTCAATTATTATTTCACTGCCAGGTTCATTTTAGTTCTTTTTTATTATAAAGGAATGTTGCTATTAAAATCATAGAAAGGGGCTTAATCAAAGTACTTTTGGAGTATACAGGAGCAAAAACTAAAAGGGAAGTGAAAACTCTTGGGATAACGAACAATATATGAAAAAAGAAAAGAACTACAGAGGTAACTAGAGAAAAATTTAGGATTAGGATTCTAGCAACCCAGAACTTCTTGACAAATAACAAACATTTGCAATCAAGTCACTTTCCAATCATACAAGTCATGAATGTGTGCATGTAGCTAGATAGAGTGAAAGCTAGAAAACATAATTATCATGGCTTTCGTGCATACTAAAATAGATGAGGCATGAAATTAAGTTTAATCTACATAAATAAACAACGGTCTAGTTCATGAATCCACCAATGTAACCCACAGTAGAATCAAACAAATTGGATAGGCACACCTTTGTAATAGTTGAGGAATTCCTTCTAGAAGGATGAACAAAACGCCGATTTATAGTCTCAGAAGTTTCCAGCGTGACTGACACCTACAAGATTGCAATTCTTCCAGTCAACTTCAAGATGCATCATTCAACAGTTCTTAGTTTCTTCACTTATCTAGTAGTTTCTCAATTTGGTCACAATCTGCAGTTACCTCAAGGCATCTTCTAGCTCCTTCTTCATGAAAGAAAGTAAGAGTTCCTCCTATCTGTTATTGAAAAAGGTAAAATAAAAACAATAAGAGGAGAAACGATGGACACAAATTCAGGCAAGGAGACAGAAGCTACCAGCTAAAACTGATTTTACCATATCACTGAAGTAATATGTGGACTCAGAATTTTTAGGGGAAAATCTTAGCAAAACTTGGTCATCCATCCTGATATTATAAGACCTTCCTCGAATAAAGCCTTCTGCTGCAGAAAATGATTGCAACAAATAAGTTTACCAGGATTCATATATTAAAAGCTCAATGCTAGTTTCATGATGCATGAGAAACAAACAAAACATGAAAAATGGGGAAAGAGAGTCTGATACTTTACATGCTACAGATTCAGTGGCTCGAGGGCTGGGTGCAGAAGATACTCCTGTTATATCATCCACAACTAGGGACCTTGTAGAAGCCTGCTGCTGACTTGGAGATAAAACGGCCAATGACTTGTCAGCTGGCAAAATATCTATTTCAAAAGGCATTCTAAGTTCAGAAAAAAGCTATTATTTTCCAAACAAATGGCATTACTTCAGCAGGAGTGCTAAAAAAACTTAAAAAGTAATTACAACAATCTAACAGAAAGCATAAGCATGTAAGTATGATGACAGAAGGAGGGGAAGATAAGTTCAGTGCAAATAGTGACTACATAATCAAGTATAACTTAATTACCAGCACTAGAATCATACAAGACCTCTGCCACTGATAACCGAGGAAGTCCGACATTTGAAGATAAACTCAAGCGGTCTCCATCTTGAGGTTGACCATCTCTATTTGAAGATCTGGCAGCTGCTGATTGCAAGGATAGGGAACTTCCAAAGGTTTTATACAGATTTTCCTTTGAAGGATTATATGATGAAACAGATGATATTTCATCCCTAGAGCTCTCATACCCTTCCTCAACACCATCATACATGTCACTCACTCTAGCCTGTAACAAATATTAATTTGGTTAGCAATCATTCAACTTAAACAATAAGTCAAAAGCATTAGCAGCACTACTAACAGCCTTACCCATTCCGAATCTCCATCCATCTCTTTCCAGTATACATCTGTTTGGATGGTCGTAGCAGGAACAATACCTAAATCATCAAAAGGGAAAATAGTCATCACGCCTTTTTTTTTAATAATAAGACACCTGTTTTACAGTATGACTCCCATTGCAAACTCAAATTGCAAGAGTAAAAAACCATATAACTTTTTCAACTTCAAAATTTAAGTCATTGTTAAATCAGGTTGAAGTTATTCAATTTCTTCCTTATACCATGCAAGAATAAATGTTTATGACACTAAAGTTAGCTCTATCAGAGGGGAAAGAGAAAACTTCACTGGGAGCATATTCCAGCAATGATCAGAACATATCCACCTTTGCTTAAGATTTAACTTCTTACATAACTAGGTTTTCCTGCTTTTTTGTTAGAGTTATTACATTTATAACCTAAAACTTGAAAGTTACCGCTTGTCATGATTTCACCAAGACTAATAATTTAAAAGAAATAAAGAGAAGCAACAGTGATTGTGACGTTGAAACTTGAAATAATAACAACTTACCATCACTTTGACCATCTTCCATTTCTAAGCCATTTCTCTTCTGGGTCACCCATACTTGCAAAGGAACCCGAGCCTCCTGTTTATATTCAAAATTTGTAAATATCACCGATATCATAACTCTTAAACAGTATATATACTTTGGAGAACTGGACTAGGACATGGACGAGTTCTTTCCAAGATCCATAGGTGTGCATGAGGACAAATGCAAGAAGAGAATCACATGCATGGACATGCCAAAATGTCCAAATGTGTATAACTAGGAATTTACATATTCATAATGAGATGATATAACATGACAGAAAAGTGAATTATCTTCAATATTCAATACAAGTGCACAAATGATTTAACAAGCATCACAAGCCAGAGCTACAATAAAGAATGCAAGGCTGAAGAGCATTCAAGTTTGAGAAAATGACAAAACGTTTAAAGATCCAAGGATTTTCAAGACTTCAGCCTTAAATCCACAAACAGAAACTTTGGACCAGTATCAACATTTATTCAAGTGTAAAAATAACCATCAATCTCAAATTGCTCCTCTCACATATGAAACAATAAAGAAACTTATGAATGTCAGATTCTTTCTTTTTCCATTTCTTTTTTTTTCCCTGTTGCAGTGGGGCAAGTCTGTAACACACACACCACCCAAGTCCTAGGTCAGACCAAAAAGTTTTAAAAAATTCCTATTTTCAAGAGCGCTATCAGCAAGTCAAACATGTCTAATTCTGAAAGACAAGAACAGAAGATAATTTTGGGATCCTTTGTAAAAATTATGAAAATTAAGTCAAACCAACCACTTCGGCAAGATCTTTTACTGACTCCTCGCTGGAGTAGTGACCATTTTCCAGTATCAGCCATCGAAAAGACAGAGAACTCTTAATATAATATAAATAACGAATGGTAGCACCCTTGTAAGATGGTGGTATAATGCTAGGAAGCACAGCTCGTATCGCATCTGTAGATAGTGTCAAAAATCAGTTACAAAACAAATCATGTTGAATCAGAGTAATGAAATGATAGTAAGGTGGAAAGCTGCAACAAATGACCCTAGCAAGAGGTAACAAAATACTATTGGCTGAAAACCATAAGTATGCAATTCAAAACATAAAATGACAGGATGCCTGCTGTAACACAATTAGCTATGGTGGAATTTATCATTAATGTAATTTAGCTTTCATCTTGGAAACCACATTTCTGCATATTTAGCCTCTTTTGCTGATAATATACTCAGCATTTGTTCTTTCTTCCCTCTGCTGTTTCTCTTATGATAAAATTCATCCTTCTAGTTACTGTTTTCCTGTCTAAAAAATCAATGAACTGAATGAAGTATTATTCATAATTCTTAAACAACATAGTATCAAGCAATTTTCATTAAGCAAATTTGGAAGTTTGACCAGAACGTGATGGCATGTGGTCATTAAGACAACAAGGGCAGTATATTCATTTTATCTGCTTCAGAAAGAAACACTCACCAATAGCATTAATTACATATTGTGATGGATAAATGGCTTTCCAGAAAGAATGAAGAAAAAGCTTTACACATGTGCACTTGCATATGTACACAAAACAATAAGATAAAAGCATGATATAGACTAACAAGTTTTTGCAGAGCCAGAAGGCACAATCTGATTTGAAACCATTGATGGTGTTGAACAGTCCAAAAAAACATGTTCACCTGAAAAAGATTGAGAACAGCTATATAAATATAAAAATATACAAAAAGATGAAAAAATAAAAAACTAAAGGAAGAGTATAGGATCTTTTTAACTAAAGGAAGAGTATAGGATCTTTTTCTTACTTTCTGGTATCAGTTTCAGCTCTGTTCAAATCGCAGGGTTAAAAAAAAGGCCAAGGGCTAATGCAGTAGATCTAAATATCAAGAGATGTTGAAGACTAAATGGCCCCGAATCAACAGATTACATTAATGCTAAAATGTGAGAAGAAAATGAAAAACAAAGCAATTTAGACAAACTCCTGTACACTGATCTGACTTCATTCTCCATGACAAAAGCAGTAAACATAAGAACTTTAAATTCAATCTCTTTAATATAAACTCTAAGTAAATCAGAAATTTACTTACATTCTTCACTTACTTTTACTATCCATAAAAAATGAATTGAAATACAAGAAGTTGATGAACTAAAAGAACAATGAATGCATTTAATTCTACACACATGTGCAGTGCCAACCTCTCTTTTGTTTTGTTCCAGACAAAGGTTTTTGGGTTGCAAACCATTGAGTATCCAACTTCTCGATCCCTTTAATTTCGAAGCCAAGCCTTTTAATTAAAAGCGATGGTACAATGCTACCAGGATTGCCACTAGTAAGGGGATTGCAGATCTCAATTGTAACATAAACAGAATCTCCAGGTCTATAAACATCTCTATCTGTTTGCAGTTTCAATGTTGGATTCAATTCACTTTTGTGCCCTTCCACAGAATAGCCAACCTTATTTGATCCCCCACCTCCAAAGAAAGAAAACCTAGATAGCAACATTGCTCCTAAACTGTTTTCATTTATTTTTTTATGAAATTCATCAATAAAGGAATTAACCTGCAAAGTATATAGCAAATGTAAAATTAGAAATTGATTTACGGAGCACGTGAACTCTGTAACAAAAAGAAAGAAGAATTTGAGACCTAAAATAAGCTACTTGTTTGGCGTACAAATTTTAAGAAAGACAAATGGAGTTGCTTTCCGTTCCATTTTCTCAGGAACCAAACAGAAATTAAAAAAGTCACTTAACAAAATGCGAAAATTTTCCTTTAGAGCTAAATATTCCAGAATATAACAAATTAGGATTGATATGCTGAGAGATCCGTTTTCAAGATCCGCTTAGAAACGAAGCTTAGATCGCCTTAAAATTGAGATCGCGAGAAAAAGAAATTGGATATGGTAAAATAACGAAGGGATCAAAACACACCTGATAGAATTAGAATGAAAGGTAAGGAAAGGAATTGAAATGGTGGAGGAGCTCCAGGCTACAGCTCCAATCGCCCAGAACCCAAGTTACCTCACCGTTTAGTTGGTGAACATAAGTGGAAATAAAACCTTCTTGTTTTTTAAATCTATTTTAGTTGACTACTTCACATACCCCAGTTAAAAATTTAATGAGTGAGATGCTATTAATAGGTAATTTTAATAATTTAATAAAATTAGTTAATGAGTTTAGTTTTAATATAAGATAAATATGAGAGTTTAAATCATTTAAGATGATTATTTAAGTGTGAATTTTGTGGATCAATGTGGTTTAATAATTATGATTTAACAGTTATATAAATTTTTGGTCCAATAAACTTTTTATAGATGGTTTTATAGGATTTTAATAAAATAGGATAAGATTCTCTCTTCACTTTTAAGAATTATAATTATTATCTATTGAGTGTTGCCACTAATAAAAGAACAAAGAAGAAGACCTAAATACTTTAGATTGTTTTACTTTTGCATATTTATCATAATCACCTAAATAGATATGTCGAATCTCTTTGTTTATTTATGACGTCTTGATTATCATATAATAATTTTGGGTTAATTTTTACATATGGCATCAAAACCTCGTTATGTGATATTAGGACCTAAAATCATTTTTCATATTTAATTTTTTAGTAAATGGCATGTTTAGGATGAAATTAAGTTGTTGCCAGAATCTTAAATTCTTATCTTTATTTTTTAAAATTAATTTAGGGTTTTTGTTCCTCTTTAAAAGAGAATTAGAACCATATAAGGAGTATTTTCTAATTCTTTGTATAAAGAGAGAAATTGGTGTTGAAAGTTTTTTGTTCAAGTTCTAATATAAATTCTTGTTTTGATTAAAACATTAACAATTTATGTATTTAATCTGAAATTGATTATTCAATCATGTTTCTAATGTGTTATAAAATTAAACCAAAGTGTTTAATTTCATAAAATGTTGCTTTAAATGACTCAATATCGAAGAAAAATATGGGTTGAATTCGAGTTTTATTGATCTGAAACTTTCTTAATTAATCTTGTTTATGTTTAATTTTTTATGTGCCTTTTGCATGAGTTTGATAGAAAAATAGTTTAATTGAGTTTTGGGCACTTCAATTTCATAAGAATACTAAAAATGCACCAAAAATGGCAAAAAAAAAAAAAACAAATCCGAACAGGTCAAGAATTTCTCTAGTCAAGTCAGGTTAACCCAGTTGGAAGTTGAAGCAAAACCCCTCCACGTGCCAGGTGAAGCCCATGCGCAGAGAATGGTGGTGCATGCAGCACGTGTGGGCTCGTTTAATGTCCATTTTTACTTCGATTTCTTCTGGCATATTTGGAATTTTATTTTTAATTTTTTATTATTTTTATGAAAATTTTAAATTGCATGAAATATTTATTGTTTGACATTCATGCATTGTTCAGTAATTACTATATGTTATACATATGATTTTTATTATTTTATTTTATAACAAAATATTTTGGCATGTTAGAAGTCCAATGACTAGGAATGGCAACGAATCAAATCGAAGCGGGTTTTTGCTCACCCTAAACGCAACCTGATATACCCATAATATTCGAACTTGATCAACCACGACAAATCCTTTATTTTTTTACATCCAAACTTAACTCGACCCAACATTGTATAAAATCGTACATGATCCAACTCGACCCAAAATTAATAAATATTATTTTTAATATAAAATCTTATTTTTTAATATAAATATAAATTATAAATATATAAATATATAATTAAAAAATAATTTTTTATATTTACCCGGTCGAGTAAGGATAAGTTTGCTTAAAACCCAACCTTGACTTTTTTTCACTATTACTTGATCTGAAACCCAATTTTCAAAAAAAAAAAAAGATCGACCTTATGGGGTCAAGTCAGAACCCGTTCGAGATGGGTCGGGCTGCCATCTATACTAATGACAATAGGTACTCTCTTTTGATAGACTTGATTTTTATGTACGCTTGAGTTGAATTTCATGTGCATAATTGATTTAGTCATTAAAATTGATTTTAATCAAGTTCAAGACTCAAGTTTAAATGCAATATACACTACTTATAAGATTTAATGAGATACATCTAGGTTTAGTATATCAATTGGAGTGGTCCACTGCATACATTATGGTTGTGTATATAAATTGAGAATTTTGGATAATTAATGAAATTTCAAGGTTTAAAAAAATTTTCATTAATTGATATAAGTGTTTGACTTATTAAAATTAATGGAATATTTATGAATCTATGGTTACAGAATAATTATTAAATTATCTTATGCAATTACCTACCAAAAAAGGGTTACTATTTAGGGTAATTTATTTTGGAACATGAAGCATCATGGTTGAGGGTGTACTAATCTAAAAAATCTATCTACTTAAAGGGAATAGGTTTTTCAAAAACTAAAACATTCTTATATTAGTTTTATGTGAAAAATTCTTACTCACATGTTACATTCTCTACCTAAAAGGGAGTTTGTGATGATGCACCAAGACTTTTCAATAATTGTTAGCATATCATAAATTGTTGCTATATATTTTTATGATATTGCCTACTGATTAATGTTGCATTTTATCTTGAACAGTGACTTTTACTATCAATAACAATCAAACCACTATTGAAATTCTTCATGGGTCTAATTATAAGAGATGAAATGAATATTTGAATTTTGCTTTTGTTGTGAGTGAGATAGACATAGTTTTACGTTTTCTAAAACATGCTAAACTTACTAATGAAAGTACTGATAAACAAAAAAACTTTTTTTCCAAATTGGAAAGGGTTAATTGTATATATTTGTATGCCATTAAGAGGTCTATTTCTAAACAATTTTGAATGGATTGGATACCACATAAATTGCTAAGGATCTTGACCATGCTGTAAGCAATAGATACAAAAAATGTAGTAAGTCTAAGACTAAGAATCTTATGAATAAGCTTATAAGTATGAGGTATGACAACGTAGAGGGTGTTAGAGATTTTATCATAAGAATGGTCTACATTCAAACCAAATTTACTTCCCACGAAATTGTCCTCCTAATAAATTCATTGTTCATCATGCCTTTCATGCCTTACTTATTGAGTTCACTCATATCAAAACTGCCTATAATGCTATGAATGAGGCTTGGAATGTTAATGATCTTATTTTAAAATGTATCTGAGAAAAAAGAAAAACTCAAGAAAAAAAATAGTGAGAGTGCTTTTCTTACTACCTATTCAAACTAATTACCAAAAAAAAAAAAATGGAAAACTTGGGAGATTGTTCCTAATGCTTGTAAGAAAGTTTAGGACAATAAGGGACAGAGTAATGGTCAAACTAAAGAGGTAGGAAGTTCTAAAGCTGTCATTAAAAAGACATCAAGTGTTTTTCCTGCAAGAAAAAATGTCACGTGAGACATGAGTGCCTTAAATATAAAGCTTGGTTAGAGAAAAAAAAAATAATAAAGTAACTTTCTGGCTCTCATTTGTTTTGAATCTTATTTTGTTAATGCCCCACCAAATTCATGGTGGCTTGATAGTGGTGCAATTGTTCATGTTGTTGTTACCTTGCTGAGGTTTAAAAGCAAACTGAAGCCAAGTGAGAAAAAGGCTAAACTTCAGGTTGAAAATAATGCTGAAGTAAATGTTAGTTATGTAGAAATTAGAGGTGTAAATGATACATATGTACTTGTAAGCTCCTCGAATTCAATTCGAATAACACTTGAATTTGGCTTGTTTATTGTCAAGTCGAACTCGAGCTCGAGTCGTTCGACTTATCAAATGAGCCAAATTCAAGTATTTTAATACTTGACTCAAATAGCTCACAAACCTAATCGAGTTTTTTTTTTAATATAAAATTTTATTTTTAATTATGAAATTACGATTTTAGCCTTGAATATATATATATAACTTAATTCTAACCTAAAATCCCATCTATTGTTGTTTCTCCCTCATCCTCCTGACAGCTTACTACTTTATCCTTTTTTTCTCTTAAAATATCATATTGAAAAAGAAAAAAAACCATACAAACACTGAGATTTTAAAAACATATTGTTTCTCCTTCTCACTCAATGTCTTGCTTTCTTTTGGTTTTTTCATATGAAGAAAATTAAAGCATTTTTTCTTAGATCTAGTTACCCATTTCATGTTCAATTGAAACCTAATAAGTTTTTTCCTTTTTATGTTTTTTTTTTATAATTACATTTATAGGTTTTAATTGAAATTTTAGTTTATTTTCTATTAAAAAGAATCTAATTTATAGGTTTTGGTTGCTTTTGTTATAGTTATAATGGATCAGTTCACAATTTGTTATTTTTACTTTAAGAAAGCTAGTATTTTTGTATCATTTGAAATCTAATTTTGATTATTGATTACTGAATTTGATTAGTTTTGATGCTTTTTTTAATTTAAAATTTTTTATTATGATTCAAGCGAATTTGAGCTTGGCTCAACTTATATTTCAAATCGAGCTTGAGCTTTAAAAATAATATTTGATTTAATTCAAGTCAAATTTCAAATTTTAATTTTTGAGTCGAGCTCGAGCTTGAGTACTTTAGTATACTGACTCGGCTCGGCTCAGCTCGATTACACCTCTAGTAAAAATAATATATTTAAATTTAGAATATGATTTTGAACTTATTTTGAAAATTTTTTTCATGTATCTTTGTTTAGAAGGAACTTGATTTTAGTTTCTATTTTGGACAAATGTTGTTACTATTTTGGCATTTGAAATAGAAAAGTTGATTTGTTTTTAAATTCAAATGTTGTTAGTGAATTTAAACTAGTTGATAATTTATATAAATTGTGCTTGGCTTACAATAATGAATATAGTTGCAATAATATTGAAAAAATAGTGCTTAAAAGATTTTTGACTAAAAAAAACTCTTATTTGTTGTAGCATAAAAGGTTAGGTCACATCTCTAATGAAAGGATATAAAGATTGATAAAAAGATGGTACTTTACCTTCCATTGATTTTGAAAAATTAAACACTTGTGTTGATTGCATAAGGAGTAAACTAATTAAGAGTAAGAAAAAAGGGCAAATTGTAATTCTAACCTTTTTGAAAATTGTGCACATTGATATTAATAGACCTCTTACATCTACCTTGTGTGGTAACAAATATTTTATTATTTTTATTGATAACTATTCTCGCTATAGGCATTTTCACTTGACTGATGAAAAATATAATGTTTTGAAAAATTCAAAAATTTTAAAACTAAGGTAAAAAAACAAATAGGGAAAGTCATCAAAGTTATTAGGTCTAATCAAAGAGGTGAGTATTATGGTAGACATGGTGAAACTGAACAGTACATGGGATCGATTGCCAAATACTTACAAGTGTGTAGGATTGTTGTCCAATATATTATGCCTATTAGTCCTAAATAAAATGGTATGGCTAAAAAATGAAAATCACACCCTTAAATATATGATAAGGAGCACGATAAGTAGAACCAATCTTTTCGAATCTCTTTAAGGCGAAACTATTAAAACTGCTTTATATATATTTAATAGAGTACTTAGTAAATCTATTCCTAAAATACCTTTTGAATTTTGGAATGGTAGGAAACCCAACTTGAACCATTTTTAAGTATAGAGATGTCTTGCAGAAGTTAAAATCTATAATCCATATGAAAGAAAGACTAACATAGAGGTACTCGTTACTTTTTCATAAAATAGCCAAACCATTCCAAGGGATAGAGGTTTTATTGTCCTCACATGGAACTAAGGTTGATAGTCACAAGTGACAGAGTTTTTTAAGCTAGATGTTGTTAATAAGGGTGTGATAAAGGCTGTAGATAACAATGAACCTATTAAACATATCTCCATTCCTTTACCTACAACATAATGCCATGTTGTGTCTGTGGCCATTGAGAGACGAGATCAAAGGGCAACAGGATACAAATCCTTCTTCTATCAATCTACGCCTATTAATGTACCTTAAATTTAAGAAAATGAGATTGAAATGTCTTTAAAGAGATCTTTCAAGCAAAACGAATATGTTATCTTTAATGATTATGTAATTTAGTTTAGAAAGAGTGACTGACATCAATCATATTGTTGATCCTGTGAATTTTGGTAAAGTTATTAGAGCTTTATGATCATTATGGCTTTAGTAGCACATTTTGACTTGAAGCTTTATCAAATTGATGTGAAAATGGCCTTTTTGAATAGTGATATTAAAGAAAAGGTTTATATGATACAACTTGAAGGATTTCAAGAATATGGATAAGACCATTTAGTATATCGACTTAAAAAGTCAATTTATAGCCTTATGCAAGCTTTAGGCAATGGTATATGAAATTTGATGAGATAGTTACTTTTTTGAGTTTTAAATAAAATAAAGTTGATTAATGTATATACCTTAAAATCAAAGAGAATAAGTGTATCTTTCTTGTTTTATATATGGATGATATCTTATTGACTTGTAATGATAATGGTCTGTTGCACAAAACTAAGTAGTTATTATTCAAGACTTTTGATATGAAAGATTTTGGGGATGCCTTTTTTGTTCTTGAAATTGAAATTCATAAAGATAAGTCTCAAAATTTGATGGGACTATCGCAAATGTCTTACATTGATTGCGCACATAATAGATTTAACATGCAGAACTATAAGGCTAAAGATGCACTCATTATGAAAAATGATAGACTTAATCTTAGTCGGTGTCCAAAGAATGATTTGGAGAAAAAAATCATGAAAAACATACCATATTCTAATATAGTTGGGACTTTCATGTATTCTCAAATTTGCATTAGGTCAGATATTGCTTTTGTAGTAGAAGTTCTTGGAAGATATCTTTCTAATCTTGGTATAGATCATTGAGTTACTACTAAAAAAGTGATAAGTTACTTGCAAAAGGCCAAAGACTATATGTTAGTATATAGAAAGGTGGAGAATCTTAAGATAGTATGATATACAGATTCTAATTTCATTGGTTGTCAGAATGACATGAAGTCCACTTCAAGGTATATTTTTATGTTGGCTGAAAGAGCTGTGTCTTAGAAGAGTGTGAAACAAACACTCTTAGTTTATTCCACCATACACGCTGAGTTTGTTGCATGTTAAGAGCTGCTACACAAGCAATTTGGCTTAAGAATTTTATTTTAGGCCTTCATATTTTGATCCATCTCTAGACTATTGGAGATTTATTGTGATAATAGGTTTATTATGTTATTTTCTATAAACAATAAGAGTACTACTAGGTCTAAACATTTGGAGATAAAATATCTTAAAGTCAGAGATTTTATGAAAAATGGTAAGTTTAACAATATGATTGCTGATCCTTTAACTAAAGGATTAATACCTATAGTGTTTGGTCATAGGTATTTTGGGGTCTTTTGATGTAATTCATTAGTGGGACTATATTATTTGTATTTCCTACTTATACATCCTGGTTTACCTTTATGTTAGACCTTTTCTTTTTATGCTTGGAATATCTATGTGATATTTGATTCCATGCTCAAATGATGATTATCATTGGTTGATATTTTATGTTATTATTTTATTTTGTTAGTACATATATACTTGAAAATTAAAGTTTGTTATATGGATTGTGAAATCTTAAAACTCGATATCTATCTTAAGTATAACTATTTTGTCATTTGGGTATGTCTCATTTATGACACCATTAAGGAACCTCGAGGATATTAAAGATACATACATGCACATCTGAATGCCATAAGGATTTTTTAACAAGTTTAGAGAAATCAACAATAGGACTGACAATTAAAATAACACATTGAGATCACATTTTCGGTATTATTTCTTATATACAGCCACGCTAAGTTCCATTAGTGATAAAATCACTAGTACATGTAACTGTGGATTGATTTTATGTTAATAAGAGGCATAAAGGTTGTCATGATTCAATATTATATGGTTTTATTGGACATGAACACTAAGTTATTGTCTCAAAAAAATTGAATTATTTTTAAAATTATGTCACATCAAAATAAAGTAAATCAACCTGGAGTTTTATTTTCTAAATAAAGTTTTCTTGAAATCAAGCTACCTAATTAATATTGTCCAAGTGGAAGAATATAATAATTTTTCATAAATGGACTACTATTAATTGATAATTTTAATAATTTAATAAAATCGGCTAATGAGTTTAATCCTAATATAAGAAAAGTAAATGAGCCCAAATAATTTAATCTAGTTATCTAAGTATAGGTTTTGCATATCTTATTAGATTAGTATGATTTGACGGTTGTATAGACCTTTGGCTTTACAAGCCTTTAATGAGAGGCTTCTAAGATTTTAATAAAATAAACTAAGATTCCATTTTTACTTCTAAGAGTTACGGTTACTACTCATTAAGTGCCACCAATAAAAAAAAACAAAAAAATACCTAATCACTTCAAGGATTGTTTTATTTCGCATATTATCATGACTATTCAAATAAGTATGTCAAATTTTTTTATTTATTTATGATATCCCAATTATCACATAATGATCTTGGGTTAATGTTTTAAACCATAGCACTACATGATCAATTTTCTTTTAACTTTTTTTTTCCTTTTTTCTGTTTTGAAGTGTAGTTGAAATTTATTTGCTGCCCCACCATCCCGTGATATAACCAGAACGTGATTAGATGGGTGGTCCGGAACGGGTTGAGCATTTATCTATTTGTAAGAGTTGGTCTAATGACATTAGACTGCCAGCTCCTTTTTATGGCGTAGTATTAAATTACAAATTAAAACTCATATTATTCTGAAAATATTTTAGTAATGGTTGTCGATCTCATGCTCGCTTGTTTTTTTTAAAAATATATACTGTAATTTGCGTATAAAAATATAAATATTTATATTTAAATTTATTAAATATCATATTTTAAAAATAATATATAAATTAATTAAATTAATCTTTTGAGTCATTTTCTTTCTTTTTAATAACGATTGTTTCTATTATTTAATGTTTCATTCGATGAAATTTTTGTTATTCTGTAATCATATTATTTTAGAACATTTAATGACCAAATAAAAATTTCTTTTTATTTATCATTCAAACAAAACATAAATTTATTTTATTAATAATATCTATCTTGTTTTTTGAAAAATAACAATTGGACGATTACTTCAATGCCTGAATTTAATTCTCACATTTTTTTTTCCAGTATATATGTACACCTTGAACAAGAACGACCCAAACAATGTAAATTGCAATGCCAATCTGTACGGATGTAAGGAATAATTTTGAGTCCTGTGAAACACGCAGCGACTCGTGACTCATGACTGAATGACCCAAAACTGTGTTTCACCCTGTTTTGGACTTCCATGCTTGTTTCCTTTCCATTATCTTCATTATTTTACTATTATTTTAATAAAATTTAGGTAATTTTTTCAAAAAAGATATATTTTTTATTTTTATTAAATAAATTATATTTAAATTGATCATATATTTTACAAATTTTAAATTGTTTTATTTTAAACTAATTCTTGATCATTAACTACTAAGAGAAAGATTATATTTAATATTGGATCGAGGATTCGAGATATATTAAACATTCGTTAATGAGTATCACATTTTTAAATTATAATCCTTTTTCAAAGAAAAGAAAATGAATTATTCACATTTTTTTTTTGCGGTTTAAAACGAATTGAAAGCTAAATAATGATAAATCTAACGAGTTTTGGAGAAAAAAATAAAAATATCTCCAACATTAGCCATAATATTGGAAATATATGGTCATAATTTCATAGTGATTCAATCTAAACTGCTCCAAGAAAAAAGTAAGAAAAAAGATAAGACCTAAAACGTCTTCGCAAATGTGAATGGTACAATATTCTTTTTTTTTAGTCAATATTGACTAAAGCATTTGGGTGTTCTCCAATCAAATCAAGAATCTGAATGGGTTTGAGAAAAAGAGGAAAAAGCTGAAGCCACTTAAAATTACATAACAGGGGCCGTAAATATATATTTTCTACGAACTTCCCATTTTATCTTTTTGTTCCTAGTTTGGTTGGTGACAATGGGTTAGGTGGTGTAACTTTTTTTTTTTTTGTAAAATTTTCCTATTTAAATCCAACAAACGAAGCCTAATAGTCACCCCGCTCCTCTTAGTTTCTCTTTGTATTTGTTCCTTCCAAAGTAGCCAATAGCAGCAGCTGAAGCCATGTCTCTCCTCAATGATCTTATCAATCTCAACCTCAGTGAGACCACTGAAAAGATCATAGCTGAATATATATGGTCGTTATCTTCTATTCATCCCCTTCCCCTTCCCCTTCCCCCCATGTACAATCTCAGACTAATTACTGATATTTTGAAACGCTTTCTTAATTCTATTTCAGGATTGGTGGATCTGGTATGGACTTGAGGAGCAAAGCAAGGGTGTGTTTTACTGTTCAAATTTTCATTTTGTTTAATATTATGATCTGGGTTTTTCAAAAGATTCTTGCTTTTACCATAGCAATTAATAATAATAGTATACTATATTGGCTTCTACAGACTTTGCCCGGACCAGTGGCGGACCCTGCAAAACTCCCCAAATGGAACTACGATGGATCCAGCACGAACCAGGCCCCCGGAGACGACAGTGAAGTCATTCTATAGTACGTTTATTTTTTTGGTTTTCAACTAAAATAAATCATGGTTTCTGGGGAAAAGTATATTCGAGATTGGTTTGTTGATTTAAAATTCCTTTTTTCTATTTTAACAATTTGTTGTGGCATTTGACTGGATCAGCCCTCAGGCGATATTCAAAGATCCGTTTAGGAGAGGGAACAACATCTTGGTAATTAATTCTTCCACGTTACTTGTTTTTCTTTGGTCCCGTGATTTTAGGCAAACTTTTTTCTTTTGGCTGACTTGGCAGTTTAAATAATTGTTTTTGACTATTTGGAACCTATATTGTCCTATCGTGTTTACATATAAAATATATATTTTTTATTTTTATTAAATTTATATATAATTTTTATTAAACTTTTAAATTTATCATTTTCATTTTTTTTTATACTTTCTTATGAGGCATTATATCATACCTGAAACTATCATTTTTATTTTAGGAAGTATTGGGCTTTAGTCAATTAATATTGAAAAATGAACTGAGATATTTTATGTTATAGTATATTAAGATTATATTTGGTTTATATAATAATATATAAGAATAATAAAATAATAATTATTTTATATCATATTTGATTTATATTTAAAAAAATTATAAAAAATTAAATTATTCTATAATTCTTTCAAAATAAAAAAATTTATTTTTAATTTATGAAATTAAATTTGTATATTTTATTATATAATTAAAAATTATATCAATAATTTAAATTATATAAATTTTAAAAAATAATTTTAATTAATAAATAAATTATTTTATCTTAATTTTTATATACATCAAATATAAAATAAAATAATATTATTTAATATAATTTAATTTATGTCATTTTATTTTATTTTATTATAATCCAATATACGAAATATATCATAAGTATAGTATTATTTGATTTCAATAAGAAAGTGAAGAGGGGTAATTGTGTCATTGCAAATGAATAATAGGTGATGTGTGATGCATACACCCCAGGCGGCGACCCCATTCCCACCAACAAGCGATTCAAGGCTGCCAAGATCTTTAGTCACCCTGAGGTTGTCCCTGAGGAACCATGGTAATTTTTTTTTCTTTACCGTTTCTTATACTTTTGGGAACTTCATTAATTATTTTTAATGATCGCTCTGTAAAAATGGAATTAAAAATGGCATTCCTAAATTCCAGATCTAAGTTGGAATCTCATTTGTCTCGTAAAAACTAAAAGAAAAATATGGGAACACGAAAATATTGACCAACGACTATCACTTACCGGTCGCCATGTGTTAGGTGGCTTCAAACTTGGCGACTTACTGGCGGTTGGGTTCTTGGGTTGGTATGTTGACGTATGACGGTTGACGTAAATATAATTATTTGTATATTTTTAGTATTATTTTGTATTAAATTTATATAAAATATAAAAATTATTATATTATAATTTATATTAATAAATATGAAATATATTTTTATTTTTATATTTTGTATCTAAAATTATCAAATTTAAATTTTGCAAGTTACAAACTTCAACAAATGAAAGTCATAATTAGAAAAATCGAGTATTTGCCTTCTTTAATGCTGACCAGCTGTAAATTTTTTTAGTCACCAACCCATTTTATATGCAAATAAATATAATAATGTTTAAAAAAATTACAAAACTTAGGCGATGATATTCTTTTTGAGTAATTTAAAACATTACCCTTAATTCTTTAATATCCATTAATATTTTTTTATATTTTTCGTACTTAATTTAAAAAAAAACTAAAGGTAAAGCCAATAATTTAAATTGTAAAATTTGGCGTTTGTGAATGTTATTAGTGATATTATTATCTGATATTCCCAGTGGGTTCAACGTGTAATGGGTCCAACAAACAACGATGAAAATTGTGGCCTCACCAATTTTTTTGAAAGGAAATTGCATATATAGACCGTCCTTGTCTTCTATTTATGTTCTTTCTTTTTTTGTTTGTTTATATTCAAGGTTTCCATGAGTTATTTTGGAAGTAAATTAAAATAATTTATCTCTTGGTTTTATGTCATTATTATGTATAACTAAATAATTGAGCTTTTAAAGGTATTTTATTTTATTTTATTTTATATGAATTATTGTAACGTTTTTTGGATGTCTTCCTGTTTGTTTGATCGCCATGTCCAAGCCTATCTTCCCTTCTCTTTTTTAGCTTACACGAAAGTTTTTATCATTTTCAATCCATTTTTGTTGGTAAATAAGAATTGTTTGGTTAGTATTTTTGTTTTTTATTTATAAACCAGCTACTATTTCGTTCAACTTGAAGCTGTGCTTTCTGTTTTTTTTTTTCCCCTCCTTTTTCCAGCAATGAAATAAAAAGGTGGATTGTATGTTATTTTGTGGGTGTTTGCTTTTTTAAAGCTGCCATTAGCTACTAAATTTGACCCAAAGCGTCGACTTTAACGCTAATGGCTCTTTTTGGTCAACAATATTAGACTTTTCAAAAAGAAAAATGTAGCGCCTTTTTTCGTAGAAACTCTAGCTGTACTTTGTTTGGTTTTTTTAAAAAGACGGTTGGAAAAAATGTGTTTTAAATGTGAAAAAATATGAAGTAAAAATTTAAAATCTATAAAATTGTCATGAAAAAGTGCTATAATGAATTAAAATATCTAAAACTAAATATGTAAAGGTGTAAGTACCAAAAAAAAAGTTTAGAAATATGAGGATAATAAAATTATTTTACCCATAAAAATTATGATTGAATAGTATAAATATCTTTTAAAGAGTTTTTTCTTAATTTGGATTTACAAATCAAAATTTTAAATCGAAAAGTCTTTTTTTTTTTTGTTATTTAACAATAAAGTTAGGTCAAAAATAACTTTTGAAAGAAAAACTCACTTTCAAACTTATACCAAACTAGGGTTTTGCTTTAGGATTTAATTACTTTATATTATTATGATTGTTAGATGTTCACCTAATCACTTATCTAGTACCTAACTTTGGGTCGGTTTGGCAGTGCTAATGATGAAGTCAATGGTTAAACAGCTAACTCATCTCCCTTTACTGTTTGGGATGTGGAATATATAATTTATAAATTCAATAAAAATTACTAAGTTTTTTTCGATCGAACAATATAATGATATAATTTGATAATGAAAGTCTTGTTTGGTCAATTACCTAAGCATAAAGCAACAATGACATTTTAGCAGTTTGATTTGACAAGTTTTACATAGATATTTATTCTATCATTTTCATTTGTTGTTAATTTCGGCTGTTGAAATCAGGTATGGCATCGAGCAAGAATACACTCTCCTTCAAAAGGACGTTAAGTGGCCTCTTGGATGGCCAGTTGGAGGGTTTCCCGGACCACAGGTACAGTTATCACAAGGCACTTTTTGATTACTATTGTGTTTAACCAAATTGTGGATAATGCAGCTGTGCTTTGAGCTTTTGGTTTAGATTCATCGGACCTGATCGTCTAAACCAAGTTTCTTTTATTCATGCAGGGTCCATACTACTGTGGAGTAGGGGCTGACAAGTCCTTTGGCCGGGACATTGTGGATTCCCATTATAAAGCTTGCGTTTATGCTGGCATAAACATCAGTGGAATCAACGGTGAAGTTATGCCGGGTCAGGTGTGTTTTGTTTCTTTGTTAGGAGGATGTTTTTATTCTATAGAACTTTATTTTCCATGGAAGATCTATGGTTTATCTGGTCTTGTGCTTGTGTAAACAGTGGGAATTCCAAGTTGGTCCAGCGGTTGGAATAGCTGCAGGGGATCAATTATGGGTTGCTCGATACATACTTGAGGTATGATCCATGTGCTCGTGTATTTACTCATTGAATTTGCCTTTTTAAGTAATTTACCATAACATCTTTTATTTTCTTGTTCAAACAGCGAATCACTGAAATCGCAGGAGTGGTTCTTTCTTTCGATCCCAAACCCATTCAGGTTTGTTTTAATGCTACCCTTTCCCCTACATTCAACTTTACCTGTTTTTTTTCTTGGTATACTTCTTTAGCTTTTTTCTCTTTGCATTTCTTTTCCGTAATCAGGGTGACTGGAATGGTGCTGGCGCTCACACGAACTACAGGTATATACTCTTTTTGCATATATTAATTCTTTTCCCTGCGTGAAGAGTAAATTTTGAACTAAAATTTTCTTTCAGCACCAAGTCAATGAGAAATGATGGCGGCTTCCATGTGATCAAGAAGGCGATTGAGAAGTTGGGTTTGCGCCACAAGCAGCACATTGCTGCCTATGGAGAGGGTAATGAAAGACGCCTGACCGGTCGTCATGAGACTGCTGATATCAACACGTTCTGTTGGGTAAGTTGGCACTGTATTCGCATTTAGCATGCTTTGGTTAACAAGCACGGAATGCATTGAGTCTCTGATAGTTTTCATCATTTGCAAACATGTAATTATAAATCTCCATTTTGTTATTTCTAAGACTATTTTGATTGAAATGTCCAAACTCCAGGGAGTTGCTAACAGAGGAGCCTCCATCCGTGTTGGCCGTGACACTGAGAAAGCTGGAAAAGGTTAGCATTCTTTTGTATTCTCGTGAGTTCCCATCTCATGAATCCCTCGCATTTAACATTCCTGTTAATGTAATTCACAGGCTACTTCGAAGACAGAAGGCCAGCGTCCAACATGGATCCCTACGTTGTGACATCAATGATCGCTGAAACCACCATTCTCTGGAAGCCTTAGAGGCTTCCAGAAAACAAACGAACTGGAGCTTTGAAGGATCAGATTAAAAAATCTACATAATAACCCTCTTATCTTCTTTGTTGAGAGAGTGGGTGAACTTGTGTTTTATTGCTTTGAATTGCTCCGGGTTGCCACTTAAATTGTGTTGTTTTATCCTTTTAGTTATAGTCATTTGCTTCTGCTGATTGTTCGAACAAACCAACTTATGGTCTGTTAAATAAAATTTAAATTGTGGCATGAGTATGCCATCAAATAAGGCCTTTTTACGAAGGCTTTGGCATCAACTCGAGTTCACCAGCCACTGGGGCCTTCACGATAGAACTTGCTGATGAAATTGAAAGATAATCGTAACAAGTTAAGACACGGACATTTGACACCCAGAGATCCCTTTACGACAATATTATAAGGTGCCAACATCAAGTAATTGGTTGCTTGGCAGCCTTTACACTATAGAGATGGTTGCAAGCAACATTCTGAAAGATACCAACATCATTGGTATTCAAGAATTCGAAACTTCCGGTGACGCATATTATTTCTATTCAAAGAGTTTGATTTAAATATTTCATCCTCAATATATATAAAAAAAATGAAGAGAAAAATCGTTACTTCTCTATCTCTTTTGGCTATCAAATATTTCTTGGTCTTGGGTGTGTACCAGTTGATCCGTAAGATGTGATGGGGTGACTACCCATAAATAATAATGAAAAAAAATGGTTTCGATTTCAATTTAATTGTAAACATCTTTTTTAGTTTGGAGTTGCACTCATATTCTTATTTTTTAAGATTTTTTTTTTTTTAGTTTTTGGTTATTTTTATGTGTTAATTTATTGATTTATATTTTTTTAAAAAAAATCTGAAAATTGAAAAAGTTGAATTGAAAAATAATTGAATATCTTGATGGATTTAGAATACACTTTTTATTAGAGTCCGTTGGTGTGATCAAGAAAAAGTGTTTTTAACCTAATTTTTTCAAAAGATTCGAATAGGAATTGAAGTTGGATTCCCAGATTGAGACCCAGTGGAATTAAACTGGGGAATTTTGTTTTGCTATAAAATTGTGTCTAAACTAGGACTTAATGCCTATTTAGAGAACCCATCAACAATAAGAGAGGGAGCACAAAATAAGCAATATGAGTAAGAAATATAGCAAAAAAAAATTTGGCAGTGTTCCGTTTAGGAAAATTTTTGGGCAAAATTCTTGGTTTGATTTTAGGTTTGAGTTAGATTTAGGTGTGATTGAGATCTAAGGAGACGAAAAGAAATTAAAATTTGGGTTTTGGAAAATTTTTTGAAATTTTTGATTGAATTTTTAGGTAAAATTAAATTTTTTGATCAAGTTTTCTATCGAAATTTGAATATTTCATTTGCTATTTGAAATTTTCGTCATTGAAAACTAGGTTTTGTGCTTAGGTTCTGAATTTTTTTTTTAAAATCCCACATATTCTTGAAGTTCCCATGCCCTTTTTGAATATTCCGACGTCAATTTTTAAGTTTTTTAGAGAGAGGTAAAGAGAATTGAGGGTAGAAAAAGAAGAAAAGAGGAAAAAATTGAGGAAAAATAAAATTTATTTTTTAAATATTTTGAAGAAAACGATACCATTTAAGAGTTTAAATTTTTTAGGATCTGATAACTAGACTTATAAACTTGTACATGGCTCCTATAACTCGACTTGATCCGATCGCTTACTTGACAATTCGAGCCATCTCTTAAGTCGTAGTCAAGTCGAGTTGCATCACTCTTTAAATTAGCTAATTTTTTTTTGTTTATATTGTAATTTTTTATTTTATTTATTTAAATCAAAATTTTTAATATAATTTTTAAACTAAATCTATGAATCTTACAAAATTATTTGAGGGTTTTATAAACAAATTTAATAAAAAATAATTTTTAATTAATCTTATCAAATTATTAGAGAATTTAAAACTTAAAATTAAATCTTACTCAAATACTAAAAAAATTTAGTGATCTTTTTTTTTTAAAATAAAAAATTTGAAATTAATCTTATCAAATTATTGAAAAATTTAAATCTTAAAAATATATGTTGAACTATTGACAAGTTTAATGATTTTAAAAAAATAAATTTTATAATTAAATCCTACTAAATTATTGAAAAATAATTTCAAAATAAAATCTTATCAAATTATTAAAATATTTTATTGATTTAAAAAATAATAAAATTTTAAAAAATTTTAATGAATCCGATGATAGAACCTTTTAGAGAATGATAGTACTCTCATTGAATACTTAAGAAGTTAAAAAATATTCTTAAATTGCTATCAAACTATTAAAATAACTTTAAGAATAATTTTCATTATTAATTTATTTGATAAAATTTTAAACATGTTTTGACGTTTAATGGATAACACAAAATCAACTGGCATTGTCCTTTGAATGAGCATTATAGAGATAATACAACATTCATTATGCATAACTATACTATTATATCTTATCTGGTTTCATAGGCTAAAATCTAATCTTTTAAGCAACATGAATCAAGTTTAAGGCTTCTCTTTAAAAATGGACCTATTCAATTAAGTAGTCAATTGCACTTAAACAAAAAAATTATTATTGCCATGTCTTTTGTCTAATGATGAGGTTCTTGAATTTATACGATATGACATTAATAATTAAAATGATGTAAAAGGCTAAACATGAAGTGATCCATCACAATTCAACAAACTAAATTTAGATATCTTCAATCTTCATATTGTTACTAGCAACATACCCTTGCTTTGCTATAGGTCCTAAATTTTATTTATAATTAATAATATTGAATTTAAAAAATTAATTAGTATAATTTCATTTATAATTATTGAATAAAAGTAATGATTAGTGAAAATATATCAATTAATTTATGGATAATAAATGCATTTCATTTTCATAACTTCTATAACAAATTCAAATACAAGTTCATTTTTTAAATTTATTTTTCTAAATATAACTAAAAAATATTAAAATAAATAATTAAAAAAAGAAAACAAAAATTAAAAAAAGAATGGCTTAAGCAAAAAGGGAAAAAAAATAAAAAAGAGTCAAATCGGGATGATATCCACTTAGGGATGGAAACGGGTCAGGTTGGGGCGAGTTTATGTTCGTTCCGACTTCGACCTGATATCGGATTATTTCTTATACTTGATCTCGATTATATATATATATATATATATGCATGTATATATATATATGTATAACTTTTATCTAGTCTGATTTAACCAAAAATTAATTCAATAATATAATATTCATAGAATATAATTTTTTAATTATATTACATCGTAATTATATATAAATATAATATTTTATTAAATAAATGTATTAAATAATAACTTTATTAATATAAAACATATGTAAATCAAATTAAATAAATAATAAAAAAATATATTTTTATATATACCTTATGATGGGGTGAGATAAAACATTCTAAATCCATCTCTAACCTGATCTTGATCTTTTAAAAGGAAAAACTATACTATATCGACCCGACTTCAATTTAAAAAAAGGTTAGTATTGGATATACTGATTAAAACCCATCAGATAAGGGTTGTTTTGACACCCTAATCTCCACTGACTCCATTTTTTTACAAAATTTATATTATTTAAAAAAAATTAAAAATAAAAAAAAGGCCAAAAAAAGCCAAATAGGTTGCCACACAAACATTTTTATTGCTATTTTATTTTTTCAAACATAAATAAGAAATACTAAAATAGATAATTAAAAAAAAACCAATAAAAAAAAAAGCCTAACAAAAAGGCAAATTACTAGGAGTGCTTAATGAACACATCCATTTAAAGATTATAACTTGTTGATATGGGTTTTTGCTCACTTTGACTTTGACCTTACTTTTTAATAATTCAATCCTACTTTGATTTTGACCCAACATCAAGTTATTATTTATTGATACCTAATCCTAGCTCATTATATATATAACTCACGTCTAATCCAAATTGATAAAAAATTAATTCGATAATTTTAATTTAGTATAATATTTATAAAAATATTTTTAAATAAAAATTATATTTTAATTATGTATAAATATAGTTTTTTATTAAAATAAAGTATTAAATAATAAATTTATTAATAGAATGCATATATAAATATAAATATAAAATTTAATAAATAATGAAATATATATTTATATATATTTGGGGCAAGATTTAACACCTTAAACCTTCATCTTACCTGAGCTTGATTTAAAAAAAAAAAACCTTGATCTTATCTTAGATTTTTTAAAAAGGAAAACATACCTAACCTATTGAATATGAGTTATTTTATCATTTTTATATCCATTGATTTTTCTTACAAAATTTATCCAATTAAAAAAGTTAAAAACTAAAATAGAAAAATGAAAGAAATGGAAAGAAAAAAAAAAGAAAAAAAAGTCAAATGTGGTACCATGTGGAACACCTTAATCGGACTTTAAAAAAGAACTATATCGACCCAACTATAATTTAAAAAAATAACCAATTGGACTGAAATGATTAAAATCCATTGGATATGAATTGTTTTATTATCCCTACTTATATAGACCTTTTTTTAATAAAATTTATTTAATTAAAAAATTAAAAAATAAAAAATAATATTGATTTTGGAAGAACTATGGAGTGCCATGTATACACCTTTGTTTTTTTTCAAAATCTACAAAATTAATATCATGGATTATAGAGTTAATAAGTAAGGCAACAACAGTTGTGAGAAAATTCAACAACTTAAATGATATTAAGACTAACTATATGCAATACCTATCATATAAAGAAAATGGTTTTTTCAACAAACACTAGGGTGATAGCCATGCTTCACCATAGGATATATATTTTTTATGAATCCAAACTATTTTTTTAAATAAAATATATCTTAAATTAGAAAATATAAAGGTTTTTTCAAGTTAAAAAAAAGTCATTGCACGTACCTTCATTATTAAAAGTTTACTCAATGATTTTCATCATCTTAAAAGTCATTTTAAAAAATGGATTTTGCAACTGCTTTTTGTCATTAATAATAAATAATATTTAAATGATGACTTAATTTGGTTGTCAAAACTTTTATTTAGCAACCATATATTTTGTTACAAAAACTTTTACATAACAACATATTTTGGTTGCCTAAATTTTTTCACAACAAAATATTTTTCGTTGCAAATTACTTTGTAACAATTATTTTGTAGTTACAATAATTAATTTAAAAATGATAAAAATTGTTTCCAAAAGTTCTTACAAAACAACAATTTTGTCATTTTTATTTATTTTTGCAACAACTTAAGGATATTTAAAAACAAATATTAATGTTGCAAACAATCTTTTCTCAACAATATTTGTATCATTATAAACAGTAAATAAATATTTAATAACAACTTTATTAATTTTAAATATGATTATTATTGTTGTCAAAAAGTCCTTGCACAACAACATTCATCTTATTTACCAACCAAAATTATTGATGCAAATATTCTTTTTATAACAACCTTTATATCGATACCAATAGTTAATAAAGATTTTAAAACAGCATTATTAACATTAAAAACAACTAATATTTTTACCAAAAAAATATTGCACAACTACATTGTCTCGTTGCATGATACAACACTTGTACTAATAAAGCTTGGAAATCAACAAACGTAAAAGAATATAGAATTGTGGATACACAATTACTAAATAAAATT